TGCTCCCTCCTCCCTGTGGCTTCCTCTCACATATTTATACATGGCTATCATATCTCCTCTCAGCCTTCTCTTCTTCAGGCTAAACATGCCCAGCTCCTTAACCCCTCCTCATAGGGCTTGTTCTCCAGACCCTTGATCATTTTAGTCGCCCTCCTCTAGACATATTCCAGCTTGTCAATATCTCTCTTGAATTGTGGTGCCCAGAATTGGACACAATATTCCAGGTGTGGTCTAACCAAAGCAGAATAGAGGGGTAGCATTACTTCCCTAGATCTAGACACTAGGCTCCTATTGATGCACGCCAAAATCCCATTGGCTTTTTTTTGCCGCCACATCACATTGTTGGCTCATGTTTAACTTGTTGTCCACGAGGACTCCAAGATCTTTTTCACACGTACTGCTCTCGAGCCAGGTGTCCCCCATTCTGTATCTTTGCATTTCATTTTTTCTGCCAAAGTGGAGTATTTTGCATTTGTCACTGTTGAACTTCATTTTGTTAGTTTTGGCCCATCTCTCTAATCTGTCAAGATCATTTTGAATTCTGCTCCTGTCCTCTGGAGTATTGGCTATCCCTCCCAATTTGGTGTCGTCTGCAAACTTGATGATCCTGCCTTCTAGCCCTTCATCTAAGTCATTAATAAAGATGTTGAACAGGACCAGGCCCAGGACGGAACCCTGCGGCACTCCGTCACTTCTTTCCAAGATGAAGAGGAAGCATTAGTGAGCACTCTCTCTGTTCGTCCACTTAACCAATTACAGATCCACCTCACCGTAGTTTTGCCTAGCCCACATTGGACTAGTTTCCTTGCCAGAAGGTCATGGGGGACCTTGTCGAAGGCCTTACTGAAATCCAGGTACACTACATCCACGGCATTCCCGCATCTACCCAGCTTGTAGCTCTATCGAAGAAAGAGATCAGATTAGTCTGGCATGACTTGTTTTTGATAAATCCATGTTGACTATTTGCGATGACTGCATTTGTTTCTAAGTGTTTGCAGACCGCTTCCTTAACAATCTTTTCCAGAATCTTGCCCGGTATCGACGTGAGGCTGACCGGACGGTAGTTGTTTGGGTCATCCTTTTTTTCCTTCTTGAAGATTGGGACCACATTGGCCCTCCTCCAATCTGCTGGAACTTCTCCCGTTCTCCAAGAACTCTCAAAGATGGTTGCCAATGGTTCCGAAATGACTTCCGCTAGTTCCTTCAATACTCTGGGGTGTAGTTGATCTGGCCCTGGGGACTTGATTATGCCTTCTAACCCTTCACCTAAATCAGGGGTCCCCAAACTTTTTAAACAAAGGGCCAGGTCACAGTCCCTCAAACTGTTGGAAGGCCAGGTTATAATTTGAATAACACATGAATGAATTCCTATGTACACTGCATATATCTTATTTGTAGTGCAAAAACCATTTTAAAACAATACAATAATTAAAATGAAGAACAAATTTTAAAATATATAAATTTATTAGTATTTCAATGGGAAGTGTGGGCCTGCTTTTGGCTCATGTGGTGGTGGTTGTTGTTGTGTGCTTTCAAGTCGTTTCAGACTTAGGTTGACCCTGAGTGAGGGCCGGGTAAATAACCTTGGAGGGCCGCATCCGGCCCCCGGGCCTTAGTTTGAGGACCCCTGACCTAAATCATTAATAAAGATGTTGAACAGGACCGGGCCCAGGACGGAACCCTGCGGCACTCCACTTGTCACTTCCAATTACTGATCCACCTAACCGTAGTTTTGCCTGGCCCACATTGGACTAGTTTCCTTGCCAGAAGGTCATGGGGGACCTTGTCGAAGGCCTTACTGAAATCCAGGTACGCTACATCCACGGCATTCCCCGCATCTACCCAGCTTGTAACTCTATCGAAAAAAGAGATCAGATTAGTCTGGCATGACTTGTTTTTGATAAATCCATGTTGACTATTAGCGATGACCATATTTGTTTCTAAGTGTTTGCAGACCACTTCCTTAACAATCTTTTCCAGAATCTTGCCTGGTATCGATGTGAGGCTGATCGGACGGTAATTGTTTGGGTCATCATTTTTCCCCTTCTTGAAGATTGGGACCAAATTGGCCCTCCTCCAATCTGCTGGAACTTCTCCTGTTCTCCAAGAACTCTCAATGGTTCCGAGTAGGAACAGAGGAGGAGTGCATTCCAGATGGATAGAGTAAAAAAAAAGGAAGCAACTGATCTGGGTCTGTAAAACCTGAGCAGGGCTGATGATAGGGGGTGATTTGGAGAGCTCTCATTCATAAGGTCACCATAAATCAGCCCTGCATAACCTATGGCCTTCCTGATGTGTGGGACTCCAAGTGCCAAAGGCCCTAGCCATCTTGTTAAGTGGTCAGGAATTCTGGAAGCTGAAGTCCAAAAGACTTGGAAGGCCACAGGTTGTATAGGTCTGCTATAACTCAATCAATCTGAAGGCAGAAATCATGCGGCTTTCCAGATGCTGTTGGACTGCAAAAACTACAATCAATCAGTGATGAGGGACGATGGGCACTGCAATCCAACTGCATCCAGAGTGACATGTGATATCCACCTTGCTCTAATTCTATTGCAACTATCCTTGTTGTTATAATCATGTGTGTGTGTGTGCGTGTGTGTGTGTGCAAGCATGAACCTTCTCAAGATGTTGTGTTGAAACTTCCATCATTCCCCAATATAATTATACTCTCCATGGTTTATGGGAATTTTAGTCCAACATCTGCAAAGACACTTTAAAATGTAAGATGCCAGATACACTTTTCAATTTTTCCTGCTAATGTGCAAATAGGCTGCCACATATGGTAAAAATATTTTGTATCCTGACAGTTCTAGTACTTAAAGTAGAATTTTTATGTATTCTACTCATCACTGAAGATACAATATGCATCTGGTAGACATCTTGGAACATAATATTCTGTGATATCTATGTCTGACTAAAATTTATAGCCAATAATCCAAAGATGCCTCCATATGTGAAGCATACTGCTTCCCACACCATGAGCTTACATCACATTTTCTTTGATTTGTTACAGCTCACACTCCTACTGTCAGGATTTTATGAACTGACAGAATCTGCTTTCCATAGACTATAATGGTTCCGAGAACTCGTCTGTTTCTAAATTGAATGCTTCTGCCAAAAATAAGATCTAAAGATTTAACATAATCAAAACTGAGGTGGACCTGTTTTGCAATGTGTTTAATTAAACAATATGATTTTATGTTATTTATCAGCTAAATTAATATACATTTGTGTTCTGTTCTTGGTGTACTTGTAACCATTTTTAAAGGGTTTGAAAAATCATAATTCAGCATTGTTCAGCTCAGGGTCAACCTAAGTCTGAAACGACTTGAAAGCACATAACAACATCAACAATCCTATCTCATCAGCCAAAAGTAGGCCCACACTTCCCATTGAAATACTAATAATTTTATATTTGTTGAAATTGTGCTTCATTTTAATTATTGTATTGTTTTAAAGTGTTTTTTGCACTACAAATAAGATATGTGCAGTGTGCACAGGAATTCATTCATGTTTTTTTCAAATTATAATCCGGCCCTCCAACAGTTTGAGGGAGTCACCTGGCCCTCTGTTTAAAAAGTTTGAGGACCCCTGGGTTACAGCCTGTGTTACACGAGGTTAACACTCCCCCAGAAGACACAGGTTCACAGTTTGGGAGTGATCCTGGACTCTTCGCTGAGCCTGAAACCCCAGATCTTGGCGGTGGCCGGGAGAGCTTTTGCACAATTAAAGCTTGTGCGCCAGCTGCGCCCGTTCCTTGGGAGGTCTGACTTGGCCACGGTGGTCCACGCTCTGGTTACATCCTGAATAGACTACTGCAACGCTCTCTATGTGGGGCTGCCTTGAAAACTTTGCAGAAGCTCCAATTAGTCCAGCAGTCGGCGGCCAGGTTGTTAACTGGAGCTGCGTACAGGGAGCGTACCACTCCTCTGTTGCGCCAGCTCCACTGGCTGCCGATTAGCTTCTGGGCACAATTCAAAGTGCTGGTTTTAACCTTTAAAGTCCTGAACGGTTCTGGCCCAGATTACCTGTCTGAATGTATCTCCTGCTATGAACCATCACAAAGTTTAAGATCATCAGGAGAGGCCCTGCTCTCGATCCCACCACTCTCGCAAACGTGGTTGGTGGGGACGAGAGACAGGGCCTTCTTGGCAGTGGCCCCCCGTCTGTGGAACTCTCTCCCTAAGGATATCAGGTTGGCCACCTCCCTCCTGTCCTTTAGAAAACAACTGAAGACCTGGCTCTGGGGCCAGGCATTAAATTAGAGGCCAGCGGCAATAGGAAAAGGACATTTGGATTTTTGTGACATGGATTCTCCCGGCTCGGCTTGRTTTTACTGGCACGTTAATCTATTAATTTATTGTTACATTTTATTGATGATATACAATGTTTTAAAATGATTTTATTGTAAGTTGTAGTTTTTATGGTATTTATGTTGTTAGCATCCTCTGATGCTCATGTGGGGCCGCGCTGAGTCCCCCTTGTGGGGAGAAGGGCGGGATATAAATATATTAAATAAAAAAAATAAAAATAAACTATCCTGACTAAACAGAACAGAACAAATGTTAGCCTTCCAGATGTTACTGTATCACAACTCCAATCAGCTCTTGTTATGTCTAATGATGAAGAATACAGGTAGTCCAGCATCTGGAAAGCCACATAAAATGACATTAGTGGGTTGCATTTGACCATGAGCCTTGAGTTTAACACATGTCCTCTACAATCATATCAATGGAAGCAACCACAAGGGCAATCCGGTCCAACCCACAAACAATGTTTTGAATTGCTGGTGTATTTCAGTTCTTCCTTTCCACTCCCTTTAGAAACGAGATGTTCCAAGTGCATGCAGCAACAAGCCTTGGGCTCTCATTCTCCCTCCCTTATGTTCTTCTGGAAACCACATATAGGTAATTTGGTGTTTTTTTGTGATGTCTGACAGCTTTTTTTGTTCAGTGTAGAAAACCAACACTGTTTCAGACACGAGATTTCTAAGCATGTTCTTACAATAGAAAAACATTTATTAAGTAACTGCAAGAAACAGGAATTGAACAGGTTTAAAAAGGAACACCAAAAATATTTACAAAGACTGACATAACAATGGTAAAACTTCATGCGACCCAAAAACAATCAAATTCATTCGAAATGCATTTTTTGGCCTTTTAAAACAGACAAATCACATTTTAATGAGATAGATTGAGATGCAAATAAGCTTTCTGATCAGTTCAGAATATCTCATCATCTGACTCCTCAAGATACTGGATAGGCTTTCTGGCCCGGCCCCCTTTTTCACGGGGTGCAACTGGCGAGTCGATATCTGAAAAGGAATCATCCATCTTCTTGGACTTCTGCAAAGGCAAAAGGGAGACTGTTAAATTCTCTGTTGGCATTAGAACCACCATATATATGGAGAACCCATATCTTGCCCGCTTTTACAGTTGCTGAAATACACAACTAATTCCCCTACCTTAAAAAAATAGCAATTTTCAAATAGTGTTTGCCCTCAAATCATGCTGTTTCCCCCAACATACGAAAATAGACCAACTTTCCTCAGAGACCCCTATGATCCCAATTACCCACATTTCCTTCTGCCGCCACTCTTGAAAGAGCAATAAGGAGAGAGGCATGTATCCTGTCACCATTTTGAGAAAGTCTGCAGAAGAAAATGTGTAGCAAAGGCCAAGCAAAAGGGCCAAATGGTGGAATTACATTTACCAGTTCAAAAACCTGAAAAATTGCCCCGTAAACTTGATTACACTGGGAGTGCATTCAACTATGTTCTCTGCGCGTGACAGAATGGCAAACACACCTTGGTTACTGTTGTCTTCTTAACTAGTTGGCCAAAGTCAGAATCTGAATCCTCAGAATCGGAGGAGGGCTTCCTTTTGACAGGTTTCTTCTTCTTGGCAGGCACAGGATTTTTGGAGGCTCCTCCATCTGTACTAGAACCTGAACTCTTAACAGCTGTCTTGCTGGTTTTTGCCGTCACCGTTTTCTTAGAGAAGGCATCCATAATAGAAAGCTGATTGTCTATGAACAAAAGAAGCAATTAGATCGTTGTAATGACACGTCAGAATCATAGAGTCGGAAGAGACCTGCAGGCCATCCAGTCCAACCCCCTGCTTTGCAGGAAAAACACAACTGAAGCAGCCCTGACAGATGGCCATCCTGACTCTGCTTAAAAGCCTCCAAAGAAGAAACTTCCACCACCCTCCGAGGAAGATAATTCTACTGTTAAAGAGCTCTCATGGTCGGGAAGCTCTTCCTAATTTCTCCTTTCCTGTCTTTCAAACCCACTGCTTTGAGACCTAGTCTTCAGGGCAGCAGAAAACAAGTTTGATTTCTTTTCCTTATGATATTCTTTCAAATATTTGTTTTTTTCTTTCTATCAAGAAGCTGCCACAACATTTCCAAGCTCCTGCTTCAGAAATATGCTCTGAGGATGATCAAATGAAGCAAGTCACAGCAGAGCAAACCAGAATAAATAAATAAATAGGTTACTAATTTGGAAGCAGCAACAATTGTAAAGGGTAGTTATTAGGCTTGGTTGATCAAGAAAAAATTTGGTTCTAAGCTCGCTTCGTTTCTAGGGGGCGCCAGTGTTTCGAATTTCAAAGGCCTTCCAAAATTTATGATTTCAAAATTTCTGAAATGTCGTTAATTACGAATCGATTCTCCAGGACGAGGAGGAGGAGGATGGGAAGGAAAGGCAACCCTGGCGCCTTTTCTCTCCTTCTTTCCCCTCTTCCTTCTCCAGGAGGAGGTGGATGGGGAAGAAGGGAGGAACAGTGTCCCTGGCTCCCTTTCTGTCTCTCCCCCCCCTTCCTTCTCTAAGAGGAGGAAGATCGGGAGGAACAGTGGTCCCGGTGCCGTTTCTTTCATTCTCCCCGCGCCACCTGAACCATTTCTCTCCTTCCCCTCTTTCTTCTCCAGGAGGAGGAGGATGGGGAGGAAAGGCAACCCTGGCACCTTTTCTCTCCTTCTTTCCCCTCTTCCTTCTCCAGGAGGAGGTGGATGGGGAAGAAGGGAGGAACAGTGTCCCTGGCTCCCTTTCTGTCTCTCCCCCCCCTTCCTTCTCTAAGAGGAGGAAGATCGGGAGGAACAGTGGTCCCGGTGCCGTTTCTTTCATTCTCCCCGCGCCACCTGAACCATTTCTCTCCTTCCCCTCTTTCTTCTCCAGGAGGAGGAGGATGGGGAGGAAAGGCAACCCTGGCACCTTTTCTCTCCTTCTTTCCCCTCTTCCTTCTCCAGGAGGAGGTGGATGGGGAAGAAGGGAGGAACAGTGTCCCTGGCTCCCTTTCTGTCTCTCCCCCCCCTTCCTTCTCTAAGAGGAGGAAGATCGGGAGGAACAGTGGTCCCGGTGCCGTTTCTTTCATTCTCCCCGCGCCACCTGAACCATTTCTCTCCTTCCCCTCTTTCTTCTCCAGGAGGAGGAGGATGGGGAGGAAAGGCAACCCTGGCACCTTTTCTCTCCTTCTTTCCCTCCTTCTTCTCCAGGAGGAGGAGGAGGATGGGGAGGAAAGGCAACCCTGGCGGGGAAGCAGCAGAGCAAAGGTGGCCGGCAGGAGGGGGGGGTAAATGCACAGCTTGCTACCGGGGAGGGAAGAGAAACTGCGAGATTGTAAAACTTGCACCAGACATACGAAAATAATTACAAAAATTGGAAAAATTGTTTCGATTCTTAATTACTCCTCACACTATTCCTGCATGGCTCGATATTGGATCGTAAGCTAATTTAAATACGAATTCATAACGAGTTTAGAAACTAACGAACACGATCAACCAAGCCTAGTAGTTATTGCAGGCCTAAAATGATAACAAGTTACAACTGGGCTGTTCAACAGGCGCACACAAGGTAAGCAGACTGCAACAAAATCAGGTGTCCATCTCTCTTCTGCCTACTCTTTCATGGAATGCACACTATTAAGTGCTACCAATAACAAGCTTTTGGGTAGTGGCACCCAATAACTCACAAAGTTGTTTGGCCAGGGATTTGGAAGCATGAGATGCTGTCTCCCAAACATATGAATTGTGCCTTTTGTCTGTGAGCCCCTCTGGACAGAATGGGCTAAAAGTGCTGCATGGTACAAAGGCTGAAGGCTGTTGGGCAAGTGGGCTTATTAACAAAAGACCCTCCTCATAAATGTATAACAGCAGCAGCGTGACCCAGCACCGGTAGTCAAAAGTGACAAAAAGAACAAAAACACACTGACTAATATTATCTCTTCCATAGGAGGCTTTTCTTTGTAGTAAAATAATATGGTTGCACTATTTACAAGAACAAGGTTTCCATAACACAAAGTTCTTATACTTCCTTCTTTGCTTCCATGCTGGGCTTCTTCCTCATGCAAATAAACAGCTCCACTCTCACAGAGCCTCCTCTCACAACAAACTTATACTGGAGCTTCACACATGAGTTTTACACATGAGGCTGTCAACCTGGGGCTTCCTCTCACTGAAGCTTCTCACATGCTGCCTTTTCATAGACTAAAGCCTATCTCACATGGAGGCTTCTCTCACAGACTGAGACTTTTCTCCCACTGAGGTTTACCTCAAACTGACAGTTACTATACAACAGGCACTTTCTTATATAGAATGGGAGCTTTTGCTGAGTCATCCATTTGCATCCATTTAACCCTTTCAGTGCTTGACTCACATGTTAATAATTAAAAATACCTAGTTAATTTTTAATATTTCTGACAAAGGTATATGGAGCAGCTACGGGCAACAGCATCCAGGAGTGCAACACTTCCTATCCTGCCCTCCCTTTTACTGAATGGAGAATTTATGTCTCTGGAGCAGCATATGCTTTTTTCATCACATATCTGATTTTTTTTCCCCTCGGGAAGTGATGGTGAGACCACTGGGAACAACTTTTGATTAGGTTAGCAAAGTCAATCAAAATGTGGACTCTTGAACATAACAGGGCAACCAGCTGCCATTCAGATGATACTTCTCTCAGCCCCTACACTAAAGCTTTCCAAACATTTCATATTGGTGACGTATCATTTTGCGACACATTAATTCAGTTTTACTAGCAAAGCGGAGGTTAATCTATTCTCTTATAAGAGATGCACAAATTGTAACAACGAAGTGTACGGGGATATAACATATCCTATTAAAATCTTTCAATTATATATATTTCAAATATATGATTTGTAAGATAATAACACACATCTCCAAGATTTTTGTTATTTTTCATGACATCTGCACAACACACCTTCACACTGCAGTTGACACACTAATGTGTTACCACAGAGTGTGGAAAGCTCTGCTCTATACCCTCATCAACCATCCCACACACCACCATTTGGTCCTTTCTGTTTTCACATAATCAAAATTGGAAGAAATTACAAGGGCCATCCTGCAATCCACAAAACAAACAAAACACTCCTGACAGATGACCATCCAGCCTCTGTTTAAAAACCTCCAAAGGAGACTCCAGCACATTTCAAGGCGGCATATTCCACTGTCATACTTTAAACAGAAATGGCAGTGAATATTTGCCACTGAACATAAAAGCATTGACAAACATCTTACCTTCAGCTGCATTTGATGCTTTCTTGGCTGGACCTTTCCTTTTAAGGGGAGGTTTAGATGACACATTAAGACTTGTGGCTGGTTTGGCTTTTTCATCCAGAGAAGACCCCAGTAAATTGACTTTAAAAAACAAAGCACAGATGCAATTAAAATAAAGATACAATACAAAAACTAAAGTCTATTTTACAATATGTTGTAGTCTTGTAAAAAGGCCTAGAAACATTGGCGTCAGATACACATACGATGCTAGAAGATATTGTAAATGTTACAATTACAATGAAACCTGAACTGTATTTGTTGGAGGTGCTCGATGGCTAATTAGAAAAGAAACATGAAAGATTACTTATCCAACATAAACAGGCCAGCAGAAAGTTGGATAAGTGAAAATGTTGAATAATATGGAGAGATTAAGGAAATGCCTATTAAAGTCAAATTACGCTATGATTTTACAAATTAAGCAACAAAACATCATGTTTTACAACAAATTGACAGAAAAAGCAGTTCAATACACAGTAACATTATGTAGTAATTACTGTATTTACTAATTAAAGCACCAAAACAGACAAGGGTTCTTTTTTTTAATCCCACCCTGCATGGGAGGCAGACTGCGTTGGATAATACAGGATGCCTGATGAGCGAAAGTTGGATAAGCGAGGCTTTACTGCATGTAAGATTACAATAGCAAGAAGCATCTCTGCCCCAAAATGGAAAGAGCCAGATATATCAAGGTGGTCAGTTGAAACATTCACACCTAGCTCCAGCAGACAAGAGTCCTTTGTCCCACCCTGGTCATTCCACAGCTATATAAACCCTTTTTTCCTAGTTCCAACAGACCTCACTACCTCTGAGGATGCTTGCCACAGAGGCAGGCGAAACGTCAGGAGAGAATGCCTCTAGAACATGGCCAACAACCCTGTGATTCCGGCCATGAAAGCCTTCGACAATAAATTAATATTTTCATTATTATTATTAATAAGAAAATAAAATATAACGAAGGAGCAAAAATATTAAAATCTAGCAGTTGGTCACATTAGACAAAATAGCTACTGAAATGGTCATAAAAATGCTGTTCTGTGTTATTACAGTGGTGTTTCTCTTTTTCTGTTTTTCTCAGCCCAAAGTGGCCCTCAAGAGCTGAATTGCTCCTGCATACCCAAGACTATTCATGGGCTTCCTTATATAGCAGAAGGTAGAACTGTCAAATTCTCTGACAAAATACCCCTTGAGGCATCAGGAATCTTCTTGTTTACAGAATGAACTCCCAAAGTTAAAGAAACAATGCAGGCCATACTACCACAGACATAAATAAAAAGTGAATCATACTGACAGTTCTTTTGTCTGCACAACAGATTTCCTGGCTTTTTTTGTTTTGGAAAGTTGTTCTATCTCTCATTAGTGTTGACAATGACTAGCACTCACTGGAGCCACTGGAGAAATCCAGCAAGACAGTACTTTGGCAGGATCCTGTCCCACCACACTTCCACTTCATCAAAAACAACAAAGAAAAGCCATCCTGACACTTTCTAGTGCATGCTCTTTCATTTCTGCTCTTCTTGAGTGGGAAAACTACACGGATGTGCTGGAGATGGAGGGTAAGGCAAGTGTTTTTAATCTGCGGAGTTGCTAGAAAAACATTTCTTGCATTGTCAGGAGAGGGGCAGAAGGAGGAACAGTGTGATACCTTTATGCTAGCACTGATCCAACTTCCCACATATCCTTTTCCTGTCACTTTCTGTGCTTGAATATTTGAACACATCAACTGGTGTCAAACAAAAATTAATGAGAGAGGGATCAGAGTCTGTTTTTGACAAATGAAACTGGAATGCCACTAATCTATCTGATATACTTACTTGTGGCAGCACTCTGTGCTTCTGGCAGCTTAGATTCTTCTTTTCCTTTTGATTCCTTAGCTTTCCTAGAATATAGAACCAATAATCTGGATTATACACATTTTCTGATTTTCATGGGCTTGCTCTATTTTGTATATAAATTCCATGCAATATGGTAGCTGAACATTGCAAGTTTGTGGAACATTTCAATAAAAGAAATATCTTTTACTAAGGAATATTGAAGGAGACACGATGCTATCACACCTATAGCTGGAGAATGAGGATAAGTATAGACTGGAATGAATATACTTAAGTTCAAATAAAAAAGTATGTACTCGAATATAAGGCGAGTCATCCTGCCCTTTTAAAAGGCTTTTTAAAGGCTGAAAAGCCCCCCTCAGCATATACTCGAAGTCAAAGTTGTTTATTATTATTACATTTATTATTTTACTCTATTATAATTATATTTACATTATTTAAGGTAAAGGTTTTTCCCCCTCACATTAAGTCCAGTCGTGTCTGACTCTGGGGGTTGGTGCTAATTTCCAAGCTGAAGAGCCAGCATTGTCCATAGACACCTCCATGTTCATGTGGCCGGCATGACTGCATGGAGCGCCATTACACTCTATTATTTTTATTTTTTATTATTTTATTCTATTTATTATTGTTATTACTACATTTATTATTTTACTCTATTACTACTATTTATTATTTTACTATATTATTGTTATTATTACATTTCCATTATTTTATTCTATTATTATTTTTATTACTTGTATCATTTTACTCTATTATTATTACATTAATTATTTTACTCTATTAATGGAGGGATACGTAAGCACATTTACACTGAAGGTAAGAATAATGATCTAATCAGAGTTGGACAGCCTTATCTTAAATTACAATTTTATGTAAATATTCAAAAACATTTAACCTACTTAACCTACTGATGCCGCAATTCATGTAATTTTATTAGTATCTATTTTTATTTTGAAATTTACCATTACCTGCTGCATTTCCCACCATCAACTTAGTATAATTAGGTGCCTCAACTTATATTCAGGTTGGCTTATATGATATATACAATAATTCCTTTTGAAGGATGACCAGAATTTATAGCAGAAGATAAACTTCCAAGCTGTATTTATACATGGGTTGTTGTAGGTTTTCCCGGGCTATATGGCCATGTTCTGGAAACATGGCCATATAGCCCGGAAAAACCTACAACAACCCATGGATTCCGGCCATGAAAGCCTTCGACAATGTATTTCTACAATTTTTTTCTAAATTTTGTGCAACCTTTAAGATTTAGATGTTGTTCTGTCAATTTTGTATAACCCTCACAACACTATTATCCTTCTGTTGATGTCTTTCCAAACTGCGACATATTTTGCATATTTCTCACACTTACTTAGAAACAGCCTTCAACTTGGGTTCGGGAACCTCTGCATTTTCACCAAGTACAGCATCCTCCGTCATTTCCTCCTGATCCTGGAGCTTCTCACTCGTGTCACTGAAGAAGGAGTCTGAGTCTGAATCCAATGAAATGGTTGCTTTGGCTGAAAACAAGCAAAATGAACCCCCCGCCCCAAAAGGGCCGTTATTCAACAATATCTATGCAGAAGTTGGAATGAGTTCAATGGGACTGATTCCCAGGGAATTGTTATGCAGGATTGCACTTGAACTGAAGAGGATCAACAAAACTTCCTTTGCAAAGTCTCCACGTTCATCTTAAACAATAGCATGTCAGAGCTATCTGTCACTGCTTTTCAGTGTAAGGTAATGAGGGTTTGGGGCTGTAACTCATTACTGAGTATATATTTGTGCCCCCTATATCCAGTTTTTGCACTCACTGATTTAACTATACATTGCTTGAAATTTCAAAACAAAAAAACTCGGTTTTGCTATTTTATATAACGGATACCATTTTAATATGCCATTGCATATAAAATAATAATAATAAACTTTATTTATAACCCGCCACCATCTCCCCAAAGGGGACTCGGGGCGGCTAACATGAGGCCAGGCCCAAAATAACACAAAATAATAAACACACAATAACAAAATACACCATAACAAAAAATGAAATAACAAATAAAACCAACAATATAAAATAACATGTTCAAATCAGACACAGAGGGTGGGCCAAATGTATGAGGTAAAATGTTAAAAAGTTAAAACCCAGGATGAGATAGGGATAAAAGTTCATTTGTAAGAGAGGAGCCCGGCAGGGGGGAGCAGTGGGATTTAGCCATTTTAGGCGCAGGGGAAGGTGCTTTATTCTGAGGGCAGCTATAGGTTAAACAATCAGGTGGGTTGAGTGGCCACTCTCTGAAGGCACATCGGAAGAGCCGTGTTTTTAGATCTTTCTTAAAGGCAGCTAGGGTGGGGGCTTTCCTGATCTCCTTAGGGAGTGAGTTCCAAAAGCGGGGGGTCACAGCGGAACAGGCCCTCTCCTCGTTCCCACAAGTCGAGCCTGGGATAAAGGAAGGGGCGAGAGAAGGACTCCCCAGAGGATCGAAGAGATCGTGCAGGTTTGTGGTAGGAAATGCGGTCACAAAGGTAGGTGGGTCCCAAACCTTTCAGGGCTTTGTAGGTAGTAACCTGCACCTTGAATTGGGACTGGAAAATGAATTAATGCATCAGAACGACTTAAAACTGCACAATTAAGTAAAGGTCCTTCTTAAAGCTACCTGCAGCTTGGCGGCGTGGCATGTTTGCACGAGGTGCAACGTCTACAACTCCGCCGTCATCAAAATCATCGCCATCAGATTCTGAATCAGACCAAGGGTTTCTTGTCCTTGCTTTTTTCACTGGCTTGAAAGGCAGCACAGATTGTTTCTTGGCATCTGGAAATAAGTACATTATCCTGCTAAATTGGAAGATCATGGACAATGTGCTCAAGAGGAAAAAGTGAAAACTCAGGGCCGCTTGGATATAGCATATTTTTTGCTTTGTGGGTCAATGGTACACGTTGAAATAAATATTTATGATAGGTTTTTTTTCTGAAATAAAAGGAGGCTACACAAAAAGAGTACCTCCTCCTTCCCCAAAGGGACCTTTATGACCAATCTTACCTGGATCTGTTTTCAATTTCTTTATCAATCTCTGTTTAAGAGTCTTTGGCTCCTTATCACATTCTGGTGAATCTCCTTTTTGTTTCCCATCAAGCTCCGTTTTTTCAGTCTACAATGAAATAAAAAAGATAGGCATTCACCTTACCGTGGATAAATGATCAAAGGAATAAAAAATGAAACTAGTATTCACGTTATACATTAATAACACAAGCCAACAAATATTTTCATTAGGTCATCCTTAATAGAGGTTTTTTTTGTGCTGAATTCAGATCTGTGTTTATTTTTCTCTATTATGTGTAGTTTTTGTGATGAGGCTAATCAAATAATGAATGCATTTATGCACCCACCGATCTCAATAGAATTTAACTGAGATCAGTGCATAAATACATTAATTATTCGATTAGCCTCATCACAAAAGCTACACGTGATAGAGAAAAAACACAGATCTGAATTCAGCACAAAAAAACAAAACTCTTTAAGAATGACCTAAAATTATATCTGATGAAAAATAGTTGTTGGCTAGGTTTCCCTTGACTTTAAGTCTAGTTGTGTCCGACTCTGACGGTGGTGCTGCCCCTCTCCATTTCTAAGGCGAAGAGCCGGCAATGGACGTAGACACCTCTTAGGTTACATGGCCTGCATGAATTGCTGTTACCTTCCTGCACATTTGCATTTTTTCGAACTGCTAGATTGGCAGACGCTGGGCCTAACAGCAGGAGCTCACCCTGTTCCCCGGATTTGAACCATTGACCTTTCAGTCAGCAAGTTCAGCATTTAATTTAGGCTGAAATAAATACAAAAAAGCTATCAAATTATTGCAACCGTAAAGTGCAAAGACCCCCGGTGTCACTAGTAGGCCCTTGTTGGCTTGTGTTACACTAATATGAGGTGAAATGTGCAGACTTTACAGTAGTCCGTTGTATTGTACAATTCGTTGTATTTTTAAAAGTTGACATGATGGAAAAAAATAAAGACATCTTTAAAATCAGCATAAAAATTGATTTAAAGTGTGCTACTCTCATTTCTGATGACACAAAGTTTGATTTTGTTGACTTGTGTCATGTACACAAACACACCCATATGGTGAGAGAGAAAGAGACAGGGTATGTTTACTACATTACCTTGATTTTTCTTTTTAATTTCTTCTCTGCATCTGCTTTCATGTCTTCAGTCACTCGGGGAATGACCCTTCTGCCCATTGGAGAGGGCATGACTTCCTGCAACTGCTTCTTTACCTTCACCTTCCCGCCTTTCCCTTTGGTGGCCTTGCTTGTGCCAAACAATTCATCCTGTTTCTCCATCTCTTCTTGGTTCTAGAGAAGAAGACATAACAGAAGTGAACTGAAGGGCTTTCGGTAGTTAGCGTTATGTTTCACAGCTAAGAGGTTAAACACTTAGGGATAGCAATCTTATACAAGGAGTACAAATAAGCATCACAGTTTTGCTTCATGGATATTTCTATTCGCTTTTATAAAACAAAGATACCACAATGTAACCAAAAAAGATTACTGTATATACTCGAGTATAAGCCTAGTTTTTCAGCCTGAAAAAGCTTCCCTCGGCTTATTCTCAAGCTAAGGTTATTATTTTACTCTGTTATTAGCATTATTTTTATTATATTTATTTTATTGCTCTATTATTTTTATTACGTTTATTATTTTACTCTATTTATTATTGTTATTATTACATTTATCATTTTGATCTATTATTATTGGAAGGATACGTAAGAACATTTACATTGAAGGAGACAAGAATAATGGTTTAATCAGAGGTGTTATCTTAAATTACAGTTTTATGTAAATATTCAAAAGCATTTAACCTACTGATGCCTCAATTAATGTAATTTTATTGTTATCTATTTTTATTTTGAAATTGACCAGAAGCAGCTGCATTTCCCACCTTCGCCTTTTACTCGAGTCAATACATTTTCCCAGAGTTTGTCGTAAAATCAGGTGCCTCGGCTTATTTTCGAGTATAGACGGTAATTTATTTGCTTTTTTAAAAAGTTCTATTAATTTATTTGATTTTAGATGTTTACTTCTACTGTATGTAATCTAATGCTCACTTTTTAAAGCTAAATTGCCTTCCCAAAATTAGGGTGCGCACTAGATTTGCGTAATGTAGTAATCTTAGTGCTGAGCCAAAGCAAAAAGGGAAATTACTTCAGGAGCTGCACCTGGAACATCATCTCTAATTGAATTGCCATGATTAAATGCTATGCAATCCTGGGATTTGTAGTTTTGGTGAGGTATCAGCATTCTTTGACAGCCCCCATGACCCCAAACCACAGCCCCCATGACCCTATAGCACTAAGCCAGGGCAGTTACAGTGGAATATTCTATAGCCTGGATGCACACCAAGGCTTTTTTTTTCATTACTGAAAGATTTGATTTGTTTTTAAGCAGCGATTCTTTGCTGGGGTGTTTTTAAAGAAGGAATTCTAAGTATACATCCACTGCAATGAGCACCTTTTTTGAACAAATTGCAAAGAATGTACTTTTTGATACTGCATATTGCATTTACCAGCAAATACTTTTTTTGGTTTCAGGGTTTTGAAAATTGAGGTGCACATTAGATTCAATAGCATGTTCGATTCGAATAAATAATGCTGTGTTGTGAGCCTCCTCAACTGCCATGCTGGGAAAAAGGAAGGATGGAATAACAACAACAATAATAATTTTGTGATATAAATTTTATATATCTATCTATCTATCTATCTATCTATCTATCTATCTATCTCATTTTCTGTGTCATACTGTCTTTGTGTCAGAATAATAAGTGGGAATCAAATAGCTTTCCAGATGTTGCCACACATCAGTTCCCATCAACCTTAGGTAGGTGAGGAATAGAATGATAGAATAAAATAGAAAGTGTCTGCATCCAATCTCCAATGGACTAAAGCAGTGGTTCTCATCCTGTGGGTCCCCAGGTGTTTTGGCCTACAACTCCCAGAAATCCCAGCCAGTTTACCAGCTGTTAGGATTTCTGGGAGTTGAAGGCCAAAACATCTGGGGACCACAGGTTGAGAACCACTGATCTAGAGTTTAAAATTCTTACCCTGCTCTCAATCCCGCCCTTGTCAGATGTGTTTGGTGGAGACGAGAGACAGGGCCTTCTCTGTGGTGGCTCCTCAGCTATGGAACGCCCTCCCTAAGGAAATTAGATCGGCTTCCTAACTCTTAACATTTTGGAGACAAGTTAAGAGATGGTTATATGAGCAAGCGTTTCCAAATGCAGAGTAACTAACATAGGAAATGGAATCACTCGACAGTGGAACTTGGACAACGTTATTTAACTAGAAGACGATGATGATAATGATGTTGGTTTTTATTGTTTTGATGGCTTCTATTGTGGTTTTATACTGTTTTAATGTTCAATTTGTATTTTGTTATGTGTACTGACTTGTTGTAAACCGCTTTGAGTCACCGATAAGGTTGAGAAAGGCGGTATAGAAGTATAATAATTAATAATAATAATAATTTTATTTCTTATGTCATGGAGGGTAAGAACATAGCTAAAAACATAATCAAAAACATTATATAAAATGCACATATGAAAATGTATTTTTATGAAATACATATATTAAATCACACAGAACAAATATTAAAATATAGTAAGCTCAAGATGTAAGTTTAGAATTCATAGTTAAAGCTAACATTGCTTATTAGCAGAAATTAGAAAGAGCCCCTGGGATCTTCCTGCTCTCCATTTTCATCATTCAGAAACTTTTGCTTTAGAACTTAATAGTAGTTCACAGACAGCTAGCCTCCTCTAACAGAAGGAGACCGTCCCTTTTGAAGCTTTCCTTTTAGAAGACACAGTCAGACCTCTTCACTATCTTCCTTCCAGTGGAAGACAGAACTGAATTTTGCTCAACATAGGAAAGGTTCCTACTATGAGCACATTACCAACTCTAAACTGGTAACCTGGCCAGAAACCTGCAGCTTTATGTTACTTACATCAAGAGCCTCAACAAACACAGCAAGATCTTCTCTCCACAAATCATCAGGATTCTTCCGTTTCAGGTTTTCCAGCTCAGTTTCCTAAAAAAGGGCAAGTGATAGAGAGCTAAGCACATGAATAAGGCTTCAAATGATGTTGCTGCTGAAGTTTTTTTTAAGAACAGGTCATCCACCTACTTTGTTATCACGCTGCTTGCAGAGCTCATCCTTTTTTTCCTTCGTTAGGTACCAGAGTGGCATATTCAGTAGGTAGTTGAAATCTGGCCCAGTGGTTGCATCAGGTTCATTTTCCTTCTCACTTTCCCCCTCTTCGTTTGGTTCATCATCACTGCCCTGGAGTTGCACAGGAAGTTGGCCGTTGTTTAATAGCTGCTGAGGCTGCTCAGCAATGGCAACGTAGTTCACTTTTCCCAAACAATGTGATTGCTCTCTGCCGATCTCTTAATACTCTCAATTTGAACTTTGGACAGTAGATCGTGGTGTTTGCTCTCTCTTCCCAGGATGAAAATGCTGAGTACTGGACCCATTACAAATATCCATATTATTACATTTACATTATTTTAGGTAAAGGTTTTTCCCCCTTACATTAAGTCCAGTCGTGTCCGACTCTGGGGGTTAGTGCTCTTTTCCAAGCCGAAGAGCTGGCATTGTCCGTAGACACCTCCATGTTCATGTGGCCAGTATGACTGCATGGAGTGCTATTGCCCTCTATTATTATTATTATTATTATTATTATTATTATTATTATTATTATTGTTATTATTATTATTGTTATTATTAATTTTATTCTATTTATTATTGTTATTACTACATTTATTATTTTACTCTATTATTACTACATTTATCATTTTACTCTATTGTTAATGGAAGTATACGTAAGCACATTTACACTGAAGAAGGTAAGAATAATGATTTAATCAGAGTTGGACACCCTTATCTTAAATTACAATTTTATGTAAATATTCAAAAACATTTAACCTACTGATGCCTCAATTCACGTAATTTTATTAGTATCTGGAGTTGCACAGGAAGTTGGCTGTTGGTTAATAGCTACTGAGGCTGCTCAGCAATGGCAACATAGTTCACCTTTCCCAAACAATGTGGTTGCTCTCTGCCCATCTCCTAATTCCCTCAATTTGAACTTTGGACAGTAGATCGTGGTGTTTACTGTCTCTTCCCAGGATGAAAATGCTGAATACTGGACCCATTACAAATACCCAGGAAGTATGGACATAGATTCCTCTTTCCACTTTAAAAGATCCCTAGTTCTCAAGACAGGATGAAAATATATTGTCCGAGCTGCAGCAGATGTTAAGGGAAACAGGACTCCTTGAATCTCCTCAACACACAGGAGTTATAAAACAAGCATGTGGACAATTTCAACAGAAAGGAGGAAACCATGAAAATGAATAAAATCTGGCTAGCAGTATTAAAAAACCTCTAAATTCAGGACAGTAAATAAAGAGCAACACTCAAAAAGCACGGGAATTCCAGACAAGAAACAACCAGGGCCAGCTAATAGCCTCCCAATAAAGGATTCCCCCGGCAGTAAGCAGCCAGAGCTTGAAGCTGCAAAGCCATTAAATGATAACTAAGATGGCCAATTGCAACATTCAAACCTGCCTCGAACAGACAAGGTTCTTTCTCCCACCCGGGACATTCCACAGATATATAAACCCCACTTGCCTAGTTTCTAACAGACCTCACAACCTCTGAGGATGCCTGCTATAGATGCAGGCAAAATGTCAGGAAAGAATGCTTCTGGAACATGTCTATACAGCCCCAAAAAGTCATAGCAACCCAGTGATTCTGGCCATGAAATCTTTCGACAACACATATAAACAATTACCTTCTGCTGAGATTCCTTCCATTTCTTTACTGGATCAGAATCATAGCCCCTCTGGATAAGGACCTTAATCAATTCTTTCTTGGGCTTGTTCTCTGGAAACACAAACATTTGCAGATCAGTGATATGAAAAAACGCAAATGACCAAAATAACACATTAGGAACTTACAATGAAAGATCATTCTTGTCAAGGGGAAAGGGACCTCTAAGAACGAGTTAATTCATTTTCCTGCCTAGGCAAGGTAAGGCATGATTCTGAGATTGCTCTACTCACTTCTATGCAACTGTCAGAGACAGAACCCAAAGCACAGAAGAAACCCCTGGATGTCTCTTCTTTGGCAAGAATGTACCTGCATGGAAAGTTTCATACGTACCACCCCTGCCAATGGAGAATAAGTCACACGGAAATCAAACTTCCCAAGCCACTATTTGTGTATGGAGGGAAAAAATAGAAAATGAGAGAAAAAAAATCTGAAATAAAGTTCCTTTTAGAAGACACAGTCAGACCTCAGTCAGGTGGGAATGCTGGAGGATCCTCCTGCCAAGAGACTCTTGCAGACATAAACCTGTTCAAATTTATAGTGCTTGGTGAAGGTGGAAGATTTTCCCCAGGGTAGTTGCTCTGCACATCTCTTCCAAGGGTATGCGGGTTGAATATGCTGCTGAAGTGGCAGCAGATCCAATTGAGTGTGCTATAACTCCTTGTGGCTTAGGAAGACTGTATGCAGCAAAAATGTAAGCTTTAAGTAATCATAGAAGCTGAGGTCTGAATAAATTTGGTAGAGAAGAGACAAAGACAAAGAGCCTCAGACCTCAGAGAGTCTAGAGAACCTGATGTAGATCTTTAAAGTTCTTCAGACAACCAGTTTGTAGGACTCTTTCTTCAAGGCACAATTAGGATACAGACAAAAGGAAGGAAAAGACAGATGCTGGAAGAGGTGAAAAGAGTTCACCACTAGACAGAAAATCTGAATACAGAGAAATGGTGAGGGAGAAGAGAGGCAGAATTGGTGGCAAATCTATAGCAGGCTACTTTTGATGACTACCAAATAATAATAATAATAATGATGATAGTAATAATAATGCCAAGACTCCCAGTGGTGATCGGCACACTGGGTGCAGTTCCTAAAGACTTGGCCTGCACTTAAAAACAATTGACACTGACAAAATTACCATCTGTCAGCTACAAACATCACCCTATTTGGATCTGCATGCATTATTCACCGATACATCACACAGTCCAAGACACTTGGGAAGTGTCCAATGTGTGATCAAATACAAAAGCCAGCAGAGTGATCTTGTTGGTTGTGTATTAATCTTGTTCTGTATCAAATAATAATAATAATAATAATAATAATAATAATAATAATAGTGTTGAAAAACAAAGTATGGATCATCGATGTCACAATGGTGACAGCAGTATTGCAGAGAAACAACAGGAAAAGCTGACACGATATGAGGATTTAAAGATCAAACTCTAAATACTCTGGCACAAGCCAGTAAAGGTGGTCCCAGTGGTGATCGGTACACTAGGTGCAGTGCCTAAAGACCTTGGCCTGCATTTAAACGTAATTGGCGCTGACAAAATTACCATCTGCCAGCTACAAAAGGCTGCCTTACTGGGATCTACACGCATTATTCGCTGATACATCACACATTCCTAGACACTTGGGAAGTGTCCGACATGTGATCCAATACAATAGCCAGCAGAGTGTCTGCTGTGGACTCATCTTGTGTTTCAAATAATAATAATAATAATAATAATAATAATAATAATAATAATAATAGGGCAAGCAAAAGGACACCAAATGTACTGGCTCAAATGGTGTCCTCATAAAGATGCTGAGGACTTTATGGAGACTCCATGGAGGATGGTACACTATCACAGAAAGAAGAAAGACAGTTTCGCTTAAGAGGTGTACTATAGTTGGGTGAGATGACACTGGAACTCTGGTGACCTGAGGTATGACTGAGGCCAAAGCTGAAATCTGTCTATGCAGGGTGTTAGGTTTAAGACTTATGTCTCATACCAACTGCAAAAAATATTAAACCTCCTGTACCCACTTAGGAGATTTCCTGCTAGCCCATCTGTGCTAAGCTCTCCAAGTTAGCTATAAAATTCAAATGCTGAGAGTTCTACCAGGAGGAAATGAGTTGTCTGACTCATCTAGTCTCTTGTAAGACCTTTGTTTATAAGACAGTTAGGTGGAACCACTCTTAATTTGGGTGTAGGACTGGACCTTGTGTTAATAGTGGAGGGAGAGAGAGGAGGAATTATTTGGGGTTAGAGTTGGAGCTGTTTAAGGGTGGAATCAAGCACCTTTTATTCTTCCCACTGGCATAGATAGCTCCGTGGGAGACAGCTTAAGTGCCAAGGCACCCAGAGATTGCCTCCATTTTGGACTTCCACAACTCTTAATGGCCAGTAGTAATAGAAATGAATTGCTTAGCTTGTTGAAGTCCTGTCTCAAATGAATCTTTGCATAACCTTTGTTTTGAATTTCATTTGTAGAAAGTTATGACTCCGATATTACTTACCAATCACAATTTTGCCTTCAATTTTTTCTAGGATGAAGCGAGCCTGGTTGTTCAGTTTTGCAGACTCTGCACCCAGCATCCCAAGAAGCCAGTCTTTTCTCAAGGAGTAATAGCGCAATCTGAGTTCGAAAAACTCCCGTAGAATGTCCTCTGCAGTTTCATATTTCTTCAGGCAGCCAATGTGGTCAAAAAGTACCTGAAACAAAGAACAATATTCCAAAAATCAACAATCTGGAAGTTTTGCCCCATGCTTTGGAATGCTGCATGGTTGCTCCTCACCTTAACTATATTCTCCCAGCTATCAACTTATTTATGGGCAGTTATCAAAAGCCATTGAATCTTCTAGGCTTAGTGATGCTTTCGCTTGAACTAATGTTGAGACACTTTAAGGTAAATATTTTTGTAAGATGTCTGCACAGCAGCATCTTTAAAAATCTCGTCCAAATGACCAAACAAAGAAGCTTTTGTAAACTGTACATTTACTCATATCTTTCATACTGACATGCTCTGAATATAACTTACACAGAAGCTAATGAATCTCCACTTAAAAAACAAAACAAAACGACCACCTGACACTGTACTTTAGATAACTAATCCAGTTAAAAAGGCATCTTAATGTTAAACAGGCCACTAACAAGACTGCAAAAATGTATTGTTATGTTGTTGAATGCTTTCATGGCCAGAATCATGGGTTGTTGTGAGTTTTCCGGCCTATATGGCTATGTTCCGGAAGCATTCTCTCCTGACATTTCACCCACACTTATGGTAGGCATCCTCAGAGGTTGTGAGGTATATTGGAAACTAGACAAGGGTTTACATATCTGTTGAAGGTCCAGGGTAGGTGAAAGAACTCTTGACTGTTGGAGGTAATGTGAATGTTGCCATTAATCACCTTGATTAGCATTGCAAAGCCTTGCAGCTTCAAGGCCTGGCTGATTCTTGCCTGGGGAATCTTGATTGGGAGGCGTTAGCTGGCCCTGATTGTTTCATGTTTGGAATTCATGTTTTCTGAATGTTGCTCTCTATTTACTGTCCTGATTTTAGAGTTTTATTAAAATACTGGTAGCCAGATTTTGTTCATTTTCATGGTTTCTTCCTTTCTGTTGAAATTGCTTGTGGATTTTAATGGCTTCTCTGTGTTGTCTGTGAACATTGAAATGCTGGACAATATCATGTCAGACTACACAGAGAAGACATTGCTATCCACAAGCATGTGGACAATTTCAACAGAAAGGAGGAAACCATGAAAATGAATAAAATGTGGCTACCGGTGTTTAAAAAACTCTAAAATCAGGACAGTAAATAAAGAGCAACACTCAAAAAGCAGGAGAATTCCAGACATAAATCAATCAGGCCTGCTAACACCTGCCAACCAAGGTTTCCCCCAGGCAGCAACAGCCAAGTTTTGAAGCTGCAAGGCCATTAAAATCGAATCAAGGTTGCCATTTGCAATATCCACACTTGCCTCAAGCAGACTAGAGTTCTTTCTTCCACCCTGGACATTCCACAGATATATAAACCTCACTTGTCAAGTTTCCAAAAGATCCCTTAACTTCTGAGTATGCTTGCCACAGATGGTAACTCACAGCCATCCAAAGGTATTTTTATTTGAAATCTCAAAAGAATTTTAATTTACAAAAAAAATCTCTTAATGTTTTATGAGCCTCGACGAAACACTTCTTCATTTTATTGTCGAAGGCTTTCATTGCCGGAATCACTGGGTTGTTGTAGGTTTTTTTCGGGCTATATGGCCATATTCTAGAGGCATTCTCTCCTGACCTTTTTCCTAGTTCCAACAGACCTCTCTACCTCTGAGGATGCTTGCCATAGATGCAGGCGAAATGTCAGGAGAGAATGCCTCTAGAACATGGCCATATAGCCCGAAAAAACCTACAACAACCCACTTTTTCATTTCATTTACCTTAATTGTCCCCATCCAGTTGCTCGTCTCATTTTAGGCTAAATAAATGGAGCTGTGCCCCTCCCCTCTGCAAGACTGAGATTGTTTGGGAATAGTTCTTACCATGTTGGTGCAAGCAAGAGAACTCTGCAGTTTGAAGACTTTGTGTAATCCAGCAGCCTCTGCTTCTGCCAGCTTTTGCTCACTCATTTTTATTACAAATCTGACAGTGGTGTCTGTGTGGTATTCTTTGTAATCTGTGATGAGTGGAGGGGTCTTCTCTGTGCCATTCAGCATGGGCTCCAGAACCTGTTCTTTGTATACCTAAGGTAGGGGAGAAGACCAGCATTATGGTTTGCCTTTTTCCCTTACAACAACATAATGTCAAGAGTACGGAAAGTGCTGACTAAATGGTACAGTACCCCAATTAAAATAGCCTATATAACAAAAACTACCACAAAACTATGTTGGCACAGATGTGGGAAAATTGGCTCCTATTCCGACATGTGGTGGGAATGGGACAGAGTACAAGATTTTTATAATAAGGTAAAGAAGGAAATGGAAGAATTAATAGGGTATAAATTGGCTTTGAACAAAAATGAATTTTTCACACAGAAATTAGATAAAAATGATAACATCAAAGCTTGGGGGGAAATTATAAAATACATGATAGTAGCCGCCCAAGCAACCGTGGCTTTGGGGTGGAAAGATCATAAAAAGTGGGAAGTTAAAAAATGGTATGATTATTTAGTGGATTATATGATTCAGGATTACATCTATGAAAGAAGAGGCAAATACACAACATGCGATTTAAGAAGACCTGGGTTCAGAAATGGGAAATACTGATAGGAAAAAGTCGAAGGAAAAGAAAGATATAAAGAGCTGAACCATTCTCTTTCACGATTGTTCATTTAAATTAAAATCTGAATTAAGATAATTACTATTCCCTGAGGGTGGGGCGGGGAGGTGGGGAGTGTAAAATCATTAGACACAAGGGTGAGGTAAAGGTCGGATTGATAAAATCACTATGAAAACAATATGTGATATGTATTCATTATGTATTTCAATATCTAAAAATGGTGATGGATTGTGATGTTATTTAGCCTGTGTCGGCAATAAAAAAGGGAAAAAAGTATTTATGAATGCTTAGGGAATGCAGAAAAAATTACACCGTGCCTTACCTGTGTCCATGTGCGAACAGGAAGCTCAGAAATTTCAATGGTGGTTGAATCGATGATGGACACTTCCCCATTAACTACATACTGGTTTTGCCCTACGGAATCTATTGTCCCCTTGAAATTCTTGTAATTAGGCATCTGAAAATACAGAAATTTAAAGTTAGCCAAACATCATGGAATTCCTAAGATTTTACAATATAACCTGTTTTGACCAGACGAGTGAATTATTCAGATATACTGGAAAAAAGGAACAAGGATTTAAGAGCGACAGAGGAAGTCCTTCAAGTCTGTGTGCCATACAGAAGCCAAATAGTGTGTGTGTGTGTGTGTGTGTGTGGGGGGGGGGGGGGGGGGAGACAATATCAGAAATATTAAAAATGAACTTGGTATTTTTAATTACAAAAATGCGAGACAAGCACTGAAATGGTTAAATGGATGCAATGAATCAGCAAATGCTGCAGTTCAATATAAATAGGTGTGTCTGTAGCTTAGTAGGCTTCAGTATAGGCTTCAAAAAAAGAAAAAGAAAAAGAAAAAAACCATTAGTTTTCTAATTAAATAGGTAAAACATTTTCATTACCATTGGCAGTGGTTCATCTCCATCCAGCATGCGTCGGATGTTATTCACCACTTCTCTGACATCGTAGTTGGGAATCTTGCATGACCAGCCCGTTCCAATACCCTCAGCCCCATTGATTAGCACCATGGGAATAATGGGGATATACCATTCTGGTTCTACCCGTTGATTGTCGTCGTATAAAAACTTCAGCACACTGTCATCCAATGCTGGGAAAGCCAAACGTGCCAAAGGGCTAGAAAAAGAAACAACTCATGTTTATATTGTTCTATGGCAATTCATCTACTATTGTGGTGGTGCAATGGGTTAAATCCTTGTGCTGGCTGAATTGCTGACCTGATCAAGGTTGGTGGTTCTAATCTACGAGACGGGATGAGCTCCCATCTGTCAGCTCCAGCTTCCCATAAGAGAATCCCCCCACAGAATGGTAACACATCCAGGCTTCCCCTGGGCAACGTCCTAGCGGACAGCCAGTTCTCTCACACCAGAAGTGACTTGCAGTATATTCTCAAGTTGCTTCTGACATGATAAAAAAAATCTACAAATATTATTCTGGCAAGGAAAAAAGAGCCACCTTGGCGAATTTTCTATAGTATAGCTTGTTATGCCCAAATCATGCAAAACAGACAAGCGGCTATCAAAGTAGCTGCTTTAACTTTCAAAAACAAATACAACCCAGCTAAATTCAAATAGGCTGCTACTAACCTCAGCATAGTGAAGATGTATCGAGGGCTAGCAGAGTCCTTCCCACCATGCAATCTGGTACCAAATTGACCAATGGGCTGAAGCAGGTTAAGGTTATTGCTGCCCACAAAGTTTTGAGCCAAATTGATAATAGTCATCATCAGTGAGGTCTGCAACAGACAAAGTGCAAATAAAAAATTAATAATGACAAAATGTGGTCAAAGGAGTAGGATTTGGTGGGAAGTGGTTATAGAAGAGAAAAAACATGGCAGGAACCACATTTTATGTCAGAAAAGTAAAGGCTGCAGGGTAGCCCACTTGCTCCTGTCTTCCAGATAGAAAGCTACTTGAGCTGTTGCTGGAAAAAGAGCAAGGTCACTTGAGCACTGATCCCATTTAGTATCAACATTTTCCTTTCATCCAGAAAAAAGGAATCATCTTAGAATGATCTTTGGTTTTTTTTACTAGTTTGGTTAACACATAGAGACTTTGGAATGGAATGAGATATGCAGTTAATAAAAAAGGAAGTCCTACTAGAATAGCGTTTCTCAACCTGGGGGTCGGCACCCCTGGGGGGGGGGGGGGGTCACGAAAGGGTGTCAGAGGGGTTGCCAAAGACCATCAGAAAAAAATAGTATTTTGTGTTGGTCCTGAAGGTTCTGTGTGAGAAGTTTGGCCCAATTCTATTGTTGGTGGGGTTCAGAATGCTCTTTGATTGTCGGTGAACTATAAATCCCAGCAACTACAATTCCCAAATATCAGGGTCTATTTTCTTGAAACTCCACCAGTGTTCACATTTGGGCATATTGAGTATTCGTGCCAAGTTTGTTCCAGATCATCATTGTTTGAGCCCACATTGCTCTCTGGATGTAGGTGAACTACAACTCCCAAACTCAAGATCAATGCCCACCAACCCTTCCAGTATTTTCTGTTGGTCATGGGAGTTGTGTGTTCCAAGACTGGTTCAATTCCATCACTGATGGAGTTCAGAATGCTTTTTGATTGTAGGTCAACTATAAATCCCAGCAACTACAACTCCCAAATGAATCCCCCCAAGGCCACCAGTATTCAAATTTGGGGGTATAGGATATTTGTGCCAAATTTGATGCAGTGAATGAAAATATATCCTGTATATCAGATCTTTACATTATGATTCATAACAGTAGCAAAATTAGTTATGAAGTAGTAACAAAAATAATTTTATGGTTGGGGGGTCACCACAACATAAGAAACTGTATTAAGGGGTCGCGATAAGAGGAAGGTTGAGAAACACTGCACTAGAACATTAAAACCACATCAAAGACAAAGGTGTTGCTCCGTTCCAGCTTCAATGCACTGTCACTTCTCTTACCTCTCCATGATGGTAAGAGGATATCTCAGCCACTGATCCGGCCAACTGAGCAACTTTCACCTCTCGCTTGTCATTTCTTTTGAAGCATGTGAACAAAACTTTCCTCTGACCTGGTTTCAGTCCTAAAAAAAGAACTCATAGTAAGTCAAGTCATAGGCTTCTTTTTAAAAAGAAGCAATTGCCAAGTTAATTAAGCAAATCAATGGACAAATTAGAGAGCACGGGAGATTTGGAACATGTTCAGTAGTAACAATGTTTATTAACTCAGTGAAGGAACCAAAGAGGATCTCTAAAAGTAAAACAGGAAACAGACTCATAGCAAGATGATTATATGTTGATTCTATATATCTCAATAAGAATATATGCTACAAGTCGCTTCTGGCCCAGCTCATCCCGTTTGGGTATCAGCCAGCACGTCAACGACTTAAATCAAGAAATAGTTTTCTAAGATCTACAGAGACACTCGCTGGAACACCTCAGCAAGTGAGAGTCCAAAAGTGGCAGGTTCAAACCCAAAACCTCAATCAATGGCTGATACCAAATGAGGGACTCCCCCCGGGGCACACAGAAAACTGGGTGACTTGGAAGGTGCTGAACAGACTGCACTCTGGCACCACAAGATGCAGAGCCAATCTTAAGAAATGGGGCTGCAAAGTGGAATCCACGACATGCGAGTGTGGAGAAGAGCAAACTACAGACCATCTGCTGCGATGCAACCTGAGCCCTACTATATGCACAATGGAGGACCTTCTTATAATAACACCAGAGGCACTCCAAGTGGCCAGCTACTGGTCAAAGGACATTTAATCAGCTACCAAGCTTGCAAACTTTGTGTTTTGTTTCTTTGTTTGTTAAAAAATGCAATACTTAAATGCAATATTTAAAAACTATGTGTTTCTAATGAAACACATGGTTTTTCAGGCAAATGTTTGAAAAAGAAGAATGCTCATGATCTGCTTTTAGAATTTTTTCTTAGTGATCTTTCTTTTTGTTGTTGTTTGAGTCTCCAAATGTAACACTGCAGTATATTTACAAAACAAGAAAATCTGATGTAGAGTTGAAAATAATATAATAATAATCAGCTTACCATCAACCAATGATGGAATGGATCGCTCATTGTCCGAGTTTGAGAAGAGAACAAGTTCTTTGTTGATGAAATCATTGTATGTCAGGTATGTTGTGCTTTTCCCATATAAGTACACCTAAGATTGCCAAAGCAGTAGAAATAAGATTAACATTTCCATACAGCTTTTTAATGCAGTATTAATTTAATTTCTAACAGCCTGCTCCCCTTCACAAGACAAAGGAAATTGTCCTGAGGCTTAACCTGCCTTTAACTTTCACTGTGCATAGCTGAGGTAGGTGCCACACACATAACTGATTCATGTATTATTATGATTATGATTATTATTTACATGTATCATTTACAATAAATCATAACTGAATGCCATCAGCTGCCTTCATTTGACCTGCTCAACTATTCCTCAGCACACTTTTCTGAAGATGGAAGAAAGGAATGCCTTTCTAAGCCCATTGCCATTATTATTTTCCTCATGTGGAAAAGGGAGCATTTCAGAAGCAATTCCTGTTTGTGTGAAAGCTTTCAAAGTGTTTTTATACAGTAGTTCTGCCTTTTGTATCTACAGATGCTAATTTTCCACATGGAGAAAGATATATTGCCAATGAGGTAGGTGCTCCCTGGCTCAAGAAAGGATATTAACACCTGAACAGGTCTTATAAGGACAGAAAATCTTGGCCTGTGACAAGCTATTTTAAACTGTGGGGATTCAAAGCCTTCAATGTTCAGTTATTACGTTGCAGTAGTAATTCAAGCTTCTCCTGTTTTCCTCTGCCCCTTCACTGAGGGTTAAACTTCACATTACATGAAACGTGAAAACATGGCTGTTTCAAAACACACAAAAAATCCAGCAACAGAAGTGTTCAATCCGGGCCATAACCATTTTGTTTGCTACACGTCTCTAGTGAAAGTTGCTCCTCACTTTCAAGTTCAGTAGAGAAAATCCCATTAAATTGCAAAAAAAGGCAATTTCTTGTGTTTTACTGCTGTAAAATATTTTACTTTAAAGCAGTAAAATATAGTTACCTCTACAGAATTTTGGTTAGAGATCTTTCACATAACCTGCTACCCTATCCTTCTATCTGAAGATCCTTATCTACCTCTTATGCAAAGTATATACACCCCTCTAAAGACCACATACCTCGGGCAGTCCATGTAACTTCCTTTGTCTTCGATCTTCCATGAAGTTTGTCAGCCATTCCTTTCGGTCGTCAATCTTTTTTTTGCTAAAGGCCTTGAACATTGCAAAATGAGCTATCAGTTTCACCAAGATGCATTCACAATTATACTTATATAGGAAAACGAGTAAAATTATTCTAATGCCATAGACCAGGGGTCCTCAAACTTTAAACAGAGGGCCAAGTCACAGTCCCTCAAACTGTTGGAGGGCTGGATTATAATTTGAAAAAAAAAAAGAATGAATTCCTATGCACACTGCACATATCTTATTTGTAGAGTAAAAACACTTAAAAACAATACAATAATTAAAATGAAGTACATTTTTAACAAATATAAATTTCAATGGGAAGTGTGGGTCTGATGAGATAGGACTGTTGTTGTTGTTGTTGTATGCTTTCAAGTAGTTTCAGACTTACGTTGACTCTAAGAGAGGGCCAGGTAAATGACCTTTAAGGGTCGTATCCGGCCCTCGGGCCTTAGTTTGAGGACCCCTGCCATAGACCAAGATTATTTTAACCCCCCTCCCCAGAGTTAGTTTCTGCTCATTATATTTATCAGAGATTAGTGTTTTTCCCATTACAGCTAGTCACAGTGGAAACTTATGGAGGTGAGAGTATTTCAGAGGGAAATACATTTTAATTCCATTGCCTATTTTTTAATTGCTACTATTTTATAAGTAAATTATGGGCACCAACAGCTCAGGGGTTTCCCACGTGAGAAGGCCATTTTAGTCAAAACACCAACTCCAAAAAGCTGAACCAAAAGCCCACTTATACATGACGGTATGCTACTCATTTGTAAATACATAATGGGGGACTAGGAGAAATTGTGCTACCAGAGTAATCGCAGCATCGTCTTCGGGGCCAGAGTACTTGAAAGGTATCCGGTGTCTTGTCATCTCTGCAAAATACTCTTTTGCCTCCTTTGCAGTACTGGTACCCAAACCTATACGGATCCAGATAGACAGGTGCATTTAGATTATATATAAACTTTATACAATCTATCTTACACTGCACAGAAGCTTCAATATATATGGGGAAAAATAAGCTTTACAAACAGAATGAAATCAAAACCTACAGAAGTAAAAGCAGATTGGTTTCACCTGGACCAGACCTGCATAACATGTGGCCCAGGGTCCAGATGTGGCCCACATAAGCCATTGGTGCAGCCTGCAGACTGTCAGGACCTTATTGCCTTAATTTACCCTGGTTTGTGTAAGGAAGGAGGAAGGAGAAAAGAGAGAAAGAATGAAAGAGAGGGAAGAGGAGGGAGGCAGGCGAAAGAAAGAGAGAGAAAGAAACAGAGGATAAAAAACAGAAAGGGAGGGAGAAGGAAAGCTAGGTAGGAAAGAGAGAGGGAAGGAAAAGTGAAGAAAGGAGAGAAAAGGGAAAGGGAAAAAGAAAGAAAGTAGGAAGGAAGGAAAGAGAAGAGGAAAGGAGAGGAAAAAGAAAGAAAAGGAGGGAGGAGAAAAAGGGGAGGAAGGAGGCAGGGAGAAAAAGAAAGAAAGGTAGGTAGGTAGGAAACAGAGAGGGGAGGAAGAAGAGCAAGAAGGGGAGAGAGAAGGAAAAAAGGTAGGTAGGAAGGAAAAAGAGGGAAGGAATTCAGAATTCAAAAAGTGTGTAGTGGTTTGAACCTTGAATATGGCTCTTTTTTTTTTTGTCGTGTCAGGAGCAACCGCTCCTGTTGTGAGAGAATTGGCCGTCTGCAAGGACGTTGCCCAGGGGACGCCTGGATGATTTTTGATGTTTTTATCATCCTTGTGGGAGGCTTCTCTCATGTCCCCGCATGAGGAGCTGGAGCTCATCCGCCTCTCCCCAAATTTGAACCTGCGACCTGTCGGTCTTCAGTCCTGCCGGCAGTGCTTTAACCCACTGCGCCACCAGGGGCTCTTGAATATGGCTCTGAACCCACTTGGTGACTTTAGTGAAGTTACATTCTCTGAACCCTAAAAAGAACAATCTTGTAAAAAAAAACTCTGTGATAGGATTGCCCTAAATCTGAAACCACTTAAAGTCAAACAACAGTTGGAAAGTGAGGTGCTAAAAAACTATTTGCGGCCCCAAGAGGCCTAGCTTATTTTAATTTTGGCCTCTTACTACTGCAAAATTGTGCAGGTCCAACCTATTTTTAGTATTATGATGTTTATTTGTACTCCAGTGGAATACCCAGAAGGAAACTTTGTAGAGGACAAAGAAAGTATGATTTCAATTCATTGAAAATTATGGTCATATCATCCATGTGTTTCTAACAGTATGAAAATCCTCTTTTTTTAGATATTTGCTGTCCATTAGACACTGAACAATGATTGTTGTTGAGGATAATAATAATAATAATAATGAATATATTTGGCTATGGTATTATTGCCAATAGTATTTCAACTGACTCTGGGTTAGGTTGCTTGTATGAAATATTGCAAGATATCTCTTTGTAGACCGTTTTGGTTTTACAAATATCTTGGTAATGCTTATGGTCATAGTCCTCCCTTCCCTTTATTCCCAGTTTACATAGAACAACACTCATCCTAAATCTCAATTTCTAAGCAGAAATCCCATGCTAGTTTAAATATTGGAGACACATATAGCATTGCCCTATAATTTTAAGTGAATGTTTAAAAATGATAACAAAGCCGTTCTTACTTGGCTTCCCTTGCACTACCACACAGGGTTTTAAACAAACCTTTGTAGTACTTGGTTTTCCAGTTTTTGTAGTTAGCATTGCCGCTTTTCCATTCTTCAAATTCAGGAATGCTGTAGAAAGAAATCTCTTCTTTGTTTTTTGAAACCTAGAATGAAGTAAAAAGTTACGATCAGAAAAAGTTTTGAACAGATAAAAATTCAACTACTTGATTTAAGAAAGCAGTTTCAACTGCTAAGATTTGCATCTCGGAAGAACAAGATACAGCTCACCTTTACAATCGGAGTAATGAACTCTTCCAGGAAACGGTGCCTCAAAAGAGAAGGCCAATTATGGTGTATGAAATTAATCAACAAGCCTTTGATGTGGGAACCATCTTGATCCTAAAAAAACGTGGAGAAGATCCAAGTTGAACCACTGGTACTGTTAAAGGGATATCTGTCTACTCATTATGTACCTTCAAGTCGTTTTGGACTTATGCGTTATCATCACTGGGTTTCCTTAGTAAGAATTGTTTGGAGATTTTGCCTTCCTCTGAGGCTGAGAGAGGGTCTGTAATAAAGATCAACGTAATCTTGGGCAGGGGGGGAAGACTAATCCCACCGCTGCCACCAGTATAACAAAATGATCGACGACAGCTAGGCAGGGGGGAAGGCAATCCCACCACTGCTCACCAGTGTGAAGGGCTAACGTTCAGCTGGACACTACTTTAACGACGATAAATGACTATGACAAAGGGGGAAAGACTCTCTTATCCCACCTCAGTAATACTGTCAGGTGACCAACTGTATTAACGTTGTTAATGACCGATGTAATAGGTAGATTCGCCGCCACCACCTCAATTATATGTCTGAGGAAAACAACTGTGAATGTTAAATTGGTAAATTATGTTCAAGCCCTTGGTTCTTCTGTAATGGCTGCTTCCTTTGCTGACTGGACTTAAATTAAGTTGTCTTTAGGCTAGCTGAGATCTATTGAGAGTGACAGACCGAGGCAGACACCAGTTTAAGATGAAAATTAGAAACAGGTTTATTTTAAACTTGGTGAACAAATCAACTCTTAGTAAGAGTGGCACATAAGCGTATTGCGATTACTGAGGCTAAGCTGGTTAGACAAACAGTCTTCTCTAAAGACTTTAACTTTTGTTCCCTGTGAGTTCCTTGCTTCACACTGCTCACTACACTGACACAGTGTGTCTTTGAGAACAGCCCACTGACTGCCTCACAGAGCAAACAGGCATTCCTTCACTGACCCTAATATGTACAGTGCTTCAGGAACCTAAGCCTTTCCTATGCTCTAACTACAAGGCTCACTTCAAAAGTTTTCCCTCCCTGCATAAATTCTTCACAGCTCCCTCTTCCAAACTATCCTTCTACACTCTTCGATGGTTAAAGCTCTTCTCCTTCGCTTGTCAAAAGACACAGCCTTTGTTCCCTCTAAAAGCTAACTCCTCCCCTGATTGCTCTAGCCAATCAGGAGTCGGCTGACTCCTCCCTCTTGCCTCTTAGCTCTCCTGCCTATCTCTCAACATGTCAGCTACTGACTTTCCAGGCTTCGGCCTTCCTGGCAAAAGGTTAGATTCATCATGAAGTTATTCAGTGGCTTTCCATGACTGAGGATCTCTGGAGTCTAATGTTCAAACCAATGCGTCACACTGGCTTTAACATACACTCTGTCAACTCAGAGAAGAACAAAAGATTACTGTATATACTGAAGTATAAGCTGAGTTTTTTAGGCTGAAAAAGCGCCCGTCCCCTCCCCCCAGCTTATATTCGAGTCAAGATTATTTACTATTTGACTTATTATTATTGTTATATTATTACATTTACATTATTTTACTCCATTATTTTTATTACATGTATTATGTTACTCTATTTATTATTGTTATTATTACATTTATTATTTTACTCTATTGATATTATTGCATTCATTATTTTGCTCTTATCGTTATTATTACATTTATTTTAACTCTATTATAAGTAATAGAATACAGAAGCACATTTATATTGAAGGTTTGAATCAGAGTTGGACAGTCTTATCTTGAATTACAGTTTTATGTAAATATTCAAAAACGTTAACCTACTGATGCTTCAATTACTGTAATTTTATTGGTATTTATTTTTATTTTGAAATTTATTTATTTATTTACCACATTTGTATACCGCCTTTCTCAGCCCAGAGGTGACTCAAGGCGGTTCACAGTCAGCAACAATTTGATGCCTCAACAATTATAAAAATACAATTAAAACAATTATAAAATACAATTAAATCATTTGGTATATAATATATTTATCAGTAGCTGCTGCATTTCCCACCCTCGGCTTAAACTTGAGCCAATACATTTTCCCAGTTTTTTTGTGGTAAAATTAGGTGCCTCAGTTTATATTCAAGTCGCCTTATACTCGAGTATATACGGTATATTTTCTTGTTTCACAACATTTGCTTTATCATATAAAACAAATAGAAAGTTCCAGTTATGCTCTAACAATGATTTTGGACCAGAGTTCAGTAATGTATGCACTAGTGACTTAAACAGGGGATGATAATTAATTATATACTTCAGATGGAAGAATGTATAACATTTCAGATATGATATAAATTTTAGGAATTACCTACAAGTCAGAAGCAGTTAAAAAACAGAAGGTTGTAGATGCTAAAAATACACGGAGAAGTTTCACATGAATAAAAGAGGATAGTCCTACAGTAGTACAGATAAGATTATATCCACTAGTTTCTCACTGTTTCACGATGCTTACTTTTGCCTTCCTAGAAAGGCAGTACCACTTATAGAGCAGACATGGCCAAACTAGGATCCTCCAGGTGTTTTGGACTTCAACTCCCACAATAGGCTGTTAGGAATTGTGGGAATTGAAGTCCAAGTCACCTGGAGGACTGAAGTTTGCCCACGCCTATTTTAGAGGTTCTCAAAAGACTGAGAGTCCATCTGCAGAATCAGAAACCCCGAATTGTGCCAGAAGTTGTTCCTGAACATGTACACAATGTTTAGGGACTTCTGACCCCTAGCAGAGTGTGAATATTATTAACCTGATTGTACCCTGTGTTACCAGAAGTTGGGGAATGCTCCAAAGTTTCCTTAAAATTCCGGAGTAGCCTTGAACTTCAGGACTGGTGTGGATAGCTGGATCGGTTCTAATTTGAATTCGTCCAACTTTGCACACAGATCAGTGCTTCCACTCTATTTTTCCTGTGCTCTGTGGTGCACTGGTCTGGGCTGCCACTTGCCACTGAGGCAGTAGCCATGGAGGTCCAGAATGCTACTGGCTGTCACTAGGTGCCTTTGTTGACATCTGCCAAGATACCTGAGGAGCTTCAGGGCTGCTATAATGGCAATAAATAACCACCAATGTAAGGGTGACCACTCAGCATAGTGAACTGGATTCAGTCTAACTTGACAGTCTTGACTCCACTTCCACAGGTTGGGAGCAGAGGGTGTAAACACCCATCTTAACTCGGTGTAGTATAAACCAGCAATGCTCTGGACCCACCTTGGATATAGGTCCCTGTATAGATGAATATAAGATACCCATACTAAAGAGCTGTCTGTGATCTGATCTGATGCCTAATCTGGCAACTGCATCAATTGCAAAAACCAACAAAGAACTATGGTTTTGAGAACTCCTTAACCAAAGACGACTAAATAATTTTTCGATCCCCTCATTCAGATATGAGATGGTTTAATAATGTTTTTGAGTCAAATCAAGCTGCTGGTTTTAGTAATTAAGGCTACATCTTCAGATGCTGGACTATTTCAGGAAATACTTTTTCCATACAAACTTCTTCCCTCCATGTTATTTAAGACCTACAAAATTTCTTGTCCACATCACAGGAAGCTGAGACTGATGCAAAGACTCAACTCTTTTTTACAATGACATATTATCCAGATAATCAAAGCGGATAATCCACATTATCTGCTTTGAACTGATTTTATGAGTCTACATTGCCATATAATCCAGTTTAAGCAGATAATTGGGATTTTATATGGCCGTGTAGTAGGGGCCTCAGACTAAAGCCCTACTCCCATCTTCTTTAGACTGATTTCAATTTTGAAAATGTTGAATGAGCCATTTGAGACTGAACTGAGAATATATTTTTGGTTCATATTAAAGTTGTTTTTATAATTTAATTACTAAGAATTTTTGTTTCATTGTGTAAATAACCCTTGATTTACCTCAACTAAAATGTAAGAAGCTGGAATTCCATTGAGCAATTATGAAAATGTAACCAACTGCTATATACTCACAATCCCTACGCAGCCTTTGGTTTAGGGGCTATGTAAGGACTGTGAAAGTCCCCTAAAACCTCATATACCTGTAAGCCAGGGGTCCTCAAACTTTTTAAACAGAGGGCCAGGTCACAGTCCTTCAAACTGTTTGAGGGCCGGATTAAAATGTGAGAAAAAACATGAATGAATTCCTATGCATACTGCACATATCTTATTTGTAGTGCATTTTTTTAAAAAAAACAATACAATAATTAAAATGAAGAACAATTTTAACAAATATAAACTTATTAGTATTTCAATGGGAAGTGTGGACCTGTTTTTGACTGATGAAATAGGATTGTTGTTGTTGTTGTTGTTGTGTGCTTTCAAGTCGTTTCAGACTCAGGCTGACCCGGAGTGAGGGCTGGGTAAATGACCTTGGAGGGCTGTATCCGGCCCTGGGCCTTAGTTTGAAGACCCCTGCTGTAAGCAGTTATTGCAATTGCCAGGAATGCTCCCCTGATGATTTCTACCCTCCTTTCTTCTTGTCATGCCAGAGATAATTCACAAGAGTGAATGGGAGCATCCATCAGCTGCTTCTTGGTCAACAGAGGAACAGACTGGGTTGTGATTCCGGCCATGAAAGCCTTTGACAATACAGAGGACCAGACCTTTGGCAAGTGGAACTTGTATGGAATTTATTGTGTAGCAATGCTGCTACGGTACCACATAGTATACAATGGTTGTAAAGGATTCCAACAATTATGAACTTAGGATCAGAAAGATAAATGGAGCCGGAAGGATTTTGGAACTAAAAGGACTGTGAAGCAATCCCCACTTTGCCAGCCACACATATAAAAAAAAAGGTGCCACAATATTATACTACTACTGAGAAAGGCTGACCTGATCTGTCATGATCATGATCCTTCCGTAACGTAGAGTCCGGAGTGATTCTTCATCATCATAGGTCTTCTTGTATTGCAGGCCCACAATCTTAATAATGTTGTTGATTTCAGCATTCTCCATTATCTGCAAAGAACTTTCAGATTCAGTGTACAAGCCTATCTACTTAAATCTCTCTCTTTCCCCCCTCCCTGCAGCACTGTCAGTTAACTTTGACGTAATCTCAGCTTTTCTGCCTAGGTTATGATATGCTACAATAAATACTTGGCTCATCTTAAAACAGGAAAATTGAATCTCACATCCCAGCAAGAATCCCTTGGGCACAGTACCACATTGGTCATTAGTATGTCTTGAAAGATGAAGGAATGGGAACAAATTTGGATTAAGAAATTAAAATACTCCTATGCCATGGATCTTAAAGAAAACTGTCTTAAGATGTTTCATAGGTGGTATATTAAGAAATTAGGCTTATGTACAAGAATGTTGGAAAAAACTGTTGGAAATGCCATGAACATGAGGGGAGCTTCTTCCACATGTGGTGGACTTGTGGAGAAGATCAAACATATTGGAAACTTATTCATGAGGAAACTCATGAACTCCCAAAAACTACTTGGAACTAAATTTGCAGGAAAACCAGAATATTATCGTTTAGGTATTACAGACCCAGATCTAATTCTAGGCCAAAATAAGGACATTTTATTTACTTATATGGCCACAGCTGCAAGAATCTCTTATGCGAAACTTTGGAAAACTGATAAGACTCCAGACATTGAGGATTGGATAGACAAACTAAGAGAAATCATAGATATGGACAAATAACTTTTTTTTAAGACCAATCCAGGAAGCCTAATAAAAAGGACAGATTGGACTCTTTTTGAGGAATATGAACAAGACAAGAAACAGAAACAGTGATTAACATTGCCTTTCTGAATTTTATATAAATTTATTTTCCTTCTTTTCCTCTTTTTTAAATATATATCATATGAATTTATAGAGCAAGAAGATCATAGTCATAAGCTTAAAGATTAATATAAATATCTTTATAAAGGACAATAGCGAAAGCACAGAATGGAAGTTAATGGACTCACCATCAGTATTTTTTCCCCCGGACTTTTTTTAACCTTAGCTTTTAAGTTTGACCTTCTTCTCATCTATCTTTTTTCCTACTTTCCTGAAAATTAAACCTGAATTGGAAAACGACCTAGGAAAGGCTACTAAGACGACAGAACGGATGAGGACTGAATATGACGACATAGTTTTAAATTTTTTATTGTTCACTGGTTTGATGTTTTTAGATATAGTGTAATGTGATGTTTTATTTTTATTGATGTATTTTATATATGGCATTGAATTGTGCCGATTGTTCGCAACCCTGAGTTGCCTTTGGGCTGATATGAGCGGGGCAAAAAATGATATAATTAATTAAATAAATAAATAAAGTGTTCTCCCACTTTTTATGTAAATATAAAACATTTCTTCTTTGCTTTGGCATGTATAAAAAAAGAAAGATAATCTCAAAATATTTATTTTAGCTGACATTGCTCCATACTTGATAGTATAATACCTTCCCTTCTCCAGCTTGAATGGACATTAAGTGCTCTCATTCAAAAGTTCTGCTTAAATGCAAACCATAGGGCAAAATATTGTCAACTGACCTGTTTGTGGGAAGCCTCTCGTACATTGAGCAGCTTTCCACGCAAAGGAAACACTCCAAATCTGTCCCTGCCAACAACTCCAAGACCAGAAACAGCTAACGTTTTAGCTGAATCACCTTCTGTCAGAATGAGGGTGCAGTTGATAGAGTTCTTACTCCCTGAAAACAGAAATGACCAGATTTAACCTAGAATATTAGGAAGTGAATGACAAAATATTTTAGGTAAAATAATAGAGAGCAAATTCACTAACAATTCAAGACAACCCCACCCATAAGGTCAAACTGCAGTTAACTGGAAGCAAGGATGCGAAATTCACCATCTTTCCAGACTCACAATCCTATCACAGTCCAGTCTGGCCCTTTTCTTCAGAAATGTCATTATGTAGCCCTCTGTGGATTGATATTCCTCCTCTAATGAAAAGCAAGACTTCTGACTTTGGAACACTCTTAGAAAACATACCAGCATCATTGGCGTCATCCAGTTTAGGTATTCCTTTAATCCGAGTGTGCTTTACTGCAGAACATTTCTTGTTTAGTTGAGTCTGGGCTTTAAATTTGACCCAGTTCATAATGCTTTCCACAATGCCACAACTGATTGCCTGAAAAGAAATAAAGAAAAAAGCTTATGAAAAGGGGTCTGAAATGTAACACAGGGTTCTCCCTCCCTCTCCCCTCTTGAGTCAGAATTGATTTTGCACCAAGCTCTGGTTTAAGACCTTTCTCCCTAATATTAAACAGAACTACCTCATAGCACTTACCCCCTTGACAAACTTTTCACTCAGCTTGCATGTTGATCCAAAGCTCTTTGCTTGAAGAGTCATGTTCTCTTTGGTTTGGGAGTCAAAAGTTGGGTTTTCAATCAAGCAGTTGATGAAAATCCACATGTGATTCTTCACCTGGAATTCAGATGCAGGAATCTTCATAGACTGCAAATGTTTCAACTTACTAGACTAGGGGTCCTCAAACTTTTTAAACAGAGGGCCAGGTCACAGTCCCTCAAACTCTTGGAGGGCTGGGTTATAATTTGAAAAAAACATGAATGAATTCCTATACACACTGCACGTATCTTATTTGTAGTGCAAAAAAAACACTTAAAAACAATACAATAATAAAAATGAAGAACAATTTTAACAAATATAAACTTATTAGTATTTCAGTGGGAAGTATGGGCCTGCTTTTGGCTGATGAGATAAGATAGTTGTTGTTGTGTGCTTTCAAGTCGTTTGAGACTTAGGTTGACCCTGAGCGAGGGCCGGGTAAATGACCTTGGAGGGCCGCATCCGGCCCTCAGGCCTTTGTTTGAGGACCCCTGTACTAGACAATCCAGCTGCAAAGTTCTTTAAACACTCAAACTGCCTGTTGGGATAACACTCCCCCAAAAGATAAACCACAGTATTAAAAAGTAATAGAAAAAGGTCAAAAGGGTAAAAAAAAAAACCCAAAGCATTTTAACAAAGTGAGAAATCAATTGCAAATAAGAACAGGAACGTGAATATTTCATCAGGTTAAGCTTAGTGGGATGCAAAGCTGCACTGAACGAAGTTTACATCTTATTCTGTGCAATTATCTAGACAAAAATTCCACTCACTTTTGTATCTACCTACAAACTATGCCTATTCTGATTTAGAACTATAGGAGGCTGTAAAGGGCTTGGTCCACCTGAAGTTTAATGAAACCGAGGCTTACGAATATGGCCCAAGAGACTAACAGAGCAGGAAAATGTGAGAATCATACCTGGAAAGGCTTCACTGCAACTCCACCTTTGTTCCTTTTCTTTACCACCTCAATTAATTTGTTGACAATTTGATCAGCAACATAGTCTACATGTCTGCCACCCTATGAAAAAAAAAAGAGCCAAGTATTAGAGAAGTTTTATTGAACAGACTGTCACAATATTTATGATAATAGACAGGCCTTTTAATTTCTATCTTGCCAATGTGCTGAAATGGCCCTACTTTTAGTGTTAGGAAAGTTTATGGTACTTAATAATTTATACTGTTAATCTTTAAAGGTTTATTTATGTAGTGTTCGTAGGAGGGAAAGGTACACAGCAACGGTATCCTTTCTTACTTATACTTTATGCAATCTGCAATGAACAGCTTGATTACTCAAAGATAAATTTTCAAATGACTGAAGATTTCTTACGTCGCATAATTATTTGTTATATCCAAGTAATAACACATATAAAATTAATTTGAAAAAAACAACTATAATCATAGGATAATTTTTAAAATGGTATTTTGGGTTCCATGAATTCAACAAGATATCTTGATACATTTTATCTCAAATGTGTGATAACTCAAAATGTCGTCAAAATTAAATAATTCAATCTATCATAATTTAAACTTCTCCACAGTTGCTTTAGCCCCATGATTTCATTATGACTTCTTTAACGGGAGATGTACAGAGCTGCATTTTAATGCTAAAATAATTCAACGAGACAGATTCAAAAAGCAAGAGAGCAGTTTTCACAAAATGAGTCTCTAAGTCAATTACCTTAGTTGTAGCAATGCTATTGACAAAGCTAACTTGCTGGAAGCCTTTTTCACTCATTGTTAAGCAAACTTCCCATCTGCCGTTAACTTCTTCATGTATAATTTTCAATAGATTGCCAGTTTCATCCACCTTGTCCTTAACATATAGATCCACATAGCTGCGGAATCCTTTGACCTATAAAAGAGACAGGGCAGGTAACATGTCAGTTGAAGAAGGTTTAAATTGGCTATAATGCATGATTCTTCACATAGCAATAGATTGCCACATTATGAGACACAACTTCATTCACCCCTTGATTTTAGGTTACAGGGTACTAAAGGTAAAGGTTTCCCATCATTAAGCCTAGTCATGTCCGACTCTGGGGAGTAGTGCTCATCTCCATTTCTATGCCAAAGAGCCGGCATTGTCCATAGACACCTCCAAGGTCATGTGGCCAGCATGACTGCATGGAGTGCTGTCACCTTCCCACCGAAGTGATACCTATTGATCTACTCACATTTGCATGTTTTCAAACTACTAGGTCGGCAGAAGCTGGGGCTAACAGTGGGAGCTCACCCTGCTCCCCAGATTCGAAACACCAACCTTTCGGGCAGCAAATTCAGCAGTTCAGTGGTTTAACCTAGATGGTATTGCAAAGATGATTTGTACACTTCTTAATCCAGCACTATCACTGAAACACAAATGTTTTCGGGGCTGGGAGTGTCTTCTACCATTTTCTGATGGTAATATATGTCAAAGGCATTTAAGGACAGAGGTAAGCTTATCCACTGTTGTCCATGCACTAGTAGTTTCATGATTGGATTAAGGCAATGCAGGTCTAGACAGTTATGCAATGCTTTCAAGACTAGTCTGGACATTTCAGGTGGCAAACCATAACTGGTGACAGAAGGAGTTTATCACCTGCATATTACCCTGCTGCTAAGGGAAATTATATGAATGCCACCATACTACTAGATCAGTGCTAAGGGTTTGGCATTTTCGTAGAACGATCTAAACACTAGATAACAAAGCAATCAGTTGAGCCTCTATCTCCTTGCTCACAAACTTTACTCATCAGAATACTTTAACAAGAGTTCTAGGTTATGGCAGTTTGGAAAATTGTTTAAGTATCATATCACCCATTCCTAATCTAGAACTCCATACCAGTACAAATCAAAAAGGTGTTAATGGCATGTACTGAAATACTTGTTTCGTAAATGTTTCCCAGAATAGTAACTGGTCTATATAAGCAAGGCTTAAGTTTCCATTTTTTAAAAACAGTGAAGCGCATCTGTTTATCTATCTATATAAATAAAAATGTAATGTTTGTTTGTTTGTGGGATTAACAGAACTCAAAAACCGCTGGGCAAATTGACCCCAAATTTGGACACAATACACCAACCAAAGCAATCTATGTCCTTCACTTAAAAAACCAAAAATAAAATTAACTTAAAACCCCCCAAAACCAAGAATACATGTGTGAATGTCCCCCCCCCCCCATGCGAAGGAAAAACTATCCGTTGCAAGCTGGCAATCCCTGCTGGCACCGAGTGAGGCTTAGCCATAGGTTCAGGCTGTAGCTCAGATGCGGTTTGGCCCCACTTTTAACTCAATGCGACGGGGTCCTGGGAGCTGTACTTTCATGTGGCCTTGCTGAAGCCATCTCTGCCAAGGAGGACTGGTGCCAAGGAGGACTACCGCCAAACTATGGATCCCACAGCAGCCAGCCATGCTTTTGGGCCTACCCTCCTCCACCACACTGAAGCCTCACGTGGGTCCTCCTTACCTCCCTTCCAGTCCTCTGTTGACCCCACCAAACAGGGACCCCTCCCTTCTTTTTCCCCAGTGAGGCAGGTGGGTGGCTGTTCCATGCCGGCGCCGTTTGTCAGACTTCACCTTTTCTTGCCTAGGCACCAACGCGAAGGGAGCTTTGGAGCCCTCAGCCTTACTGGGCCCGGCAGGGATGCAAGGCATTTTTTGAGGTAGGCCTTGCTCACACAGCACTGGCCCCTTCTTTATGCCGCAGCCGCAAAGTGCCTTTTATGTGACCCTGCCTGCATGCCCAATCGGCAAACAGGCGGGAAGGCGCCCTGCAGCCATGGCAGAAAAAAGAAGGGCCAGTGCTGGGTGAGCGAGGCCTGCCTCAAAAAGCACCTCCCACCTGCCCCGCACCTGGCCTAGCAAGGCTGAGGGCTGCGAGGCTCCCTTCCTGCCAGTGCCCAGGCACGAGGTAGAGAAGGGAAGGAAGAAAAGAGGAAGAAAAGAGAGAAAGAGGGCGCGACAGAAAGCAGGAAAGAGAGAATGAGGGATGGAAGCAAAGAGCAAAGGAAGAAAGGAAAGAAAGAGGGAGAGAAGGAAGAAAGAGGAAAAGAAAAGAAAAGGGGGTAGGGAGGAAGGAAAGAGAGAAGGAAAGGAAAAAAAGGAAGAAACGAAGGAAAGAGGGAGAGAAGGAAGGAAGGTGAGAGGGAAAGAGGGAGGGCAGGTTGGCCACAGCAATGCGTGGCAGGTACAGCTAGTATATAAATAAAAATATAATGTTCGTTTGTGGGATTAACATAACTCAAAAACCGCTGGGAGAATTGACACCAAATTTGGACACATTACACCTATCAGGCCAACAAGTGACAGTCACTCATAAAAACACTGAAAACCACAGCAGAAGAGACTTAAAAAGCCAAAAAACAAAAATTACATTACAATGCATGCACAAAACCACATATATACACACAAACACAGATATATACACATATCCATGAATACACACACACACAAAACACAAATACACAGACTGGGCCACAGCAACGTGTGGCAGGGGATGGCTAGTCAGCATACAAATTAATTTCATTTACTTACAGGTAGCTTTTTCCCATTCAAAAAGACTGTGACATCTTTGGAAGCTCCTGCAACATCATAAGCTCTGCGAGACATTAGAGCCACAATGTCTTTGTCCAAAGTAGTCATTTTAAATTTTGACAGATCAGGTTGGAAAGTGATGCATGTGAAGTCCTCACCATCAAAATACTTCAGTTTCATCTCCCCAGCTTTACCCATATTATTAGTCCAAGTCTGAGGAAAGAAAAAAAATCAAGAAATTTTAGCTATCAAGACAAATGTGAATTCCTTTAACTGGGAAAGACATTTTCTAATTAGGGAAGAAACAGTTGGTTGGATCAACTCTCATAACTCAGTCACCTTCTAATTCTTGAGTCAGTATTTAAGATATGCATAGCCAGCAGTTAAAACTACAGACCAGATGGTGTCTAGACGTGAAGAAAATGCAGAGCAAATGCAGAAGCTGAGTTTACAAAAGTATACATAGCTTTTGGACATTTTAAAATGACAGAATCAATATTATGCTAACAAGGCTTCCTATACCTGCTGAAAGCGCTTCTTATATTCTTTGCATGCAGTTTCCACTGTAAATTTGGTACTGAAGATGTTGCACAGCTTTGCTCCATAACCATTTCGACCACCTGGAATCATAAATAATGAATCAAATTAATGATACCCAGTAGTACACTGAAATCTAGGAGATATAAAGTCCAATTACATGCATAACTATGCTGAAAAAGAGCCTGTTGGGTCTATTGTAACTAATTCTACAGATGCACATCTTTAAAAAGGAATTTAAGTTTGCTTCAAATCAAATCAAACAACTTTCAGAATTTGTACATGACAAAACAGAGCCCTTTTTTTTGGAGCACCAAGAGTAAATCTTTTCTCAGCTTCCTCTCCCGTTGCCTTTAGTTCAGGAGTCAAATCTTTAGCTATACATCTTGTTGGACTCCAAGTTCTGATTAACCATAGCCAACATAGCTCTTTGCCATGTAAGATGGTTGCTGCCGTATCTACAAACCATAGGTCTTCCACCCAATTCCTATTCATTGCACTGATTTCAGGAACAGAGCAAAATAATAATAATAATAAAATTGGGAAGTGTCCGACATGTGATCCACTACAACAGACAGCAGAGTGTCTGCTGTGGACTCATCTTGTTGTGTTTCTAATAATAATAATAATAATAATATATTTATATTCTGCCCTGTCTCCCTGAAGGGACTCAGGGCAGATTCCAATCACAAAAAGGCAAACATTTGTGATTACAATCACAAAAAAGGCAAACAAAAAGGTAATCAATAAGTAGATTTGTGATTTAATATGTGCCATTTATGCTAATTTTAACAAGTGATATTTTTTGGATGGGAACTCTGCACCAGGGCAAAAGTCTGATGGGATTGAGTACTGTATTGACTTTGTAGTAATGTCCATCCCATAGTTTGCCAACTTTCAAATTGTGAAGCTTGAGCTCCAACTAGTGCGTGTTTTCTGAAAAGACACGAGCTGAGAGTTTTCAAAGGAGGTGGCCTCTTACATTCTCAAGCTTGAGTGTCATTAGACTAATTAGTAATTTTTAATAAGATTTCCTCTAACCTGTGACTTTTTTCTCATCATCATCGTAGTTGCTGGAAGTCAAAAGCTGCCCAAAAATAAGAGCTGGCACATAGACTTTCTCTACTTTATGCTCGACAACAGGAATCCCTTTTCCATTGTTCCACACAGAGATGGTGTTATTCTCCCTATAAAATAATAATAATAATAATAATAATAATAATAAAACTTTATATCCTGCCCTATCTCTCTTTGGGGACTCAGGGTGGTTTACAAAAATCTGTGGCAAACATTCAATGCCATTCAATACTAAACAAAGAACGAACTAACTAACTGCAACCACCCAAATCCCAAAACATACCCAAAGTCCACTACATCAAGTGTTCTGCAAACTACATCAACTAGAGAAGTCAGCCATAGCACAGCACTTGATGAACCAACCTGGATGCAGCATATTATCTGAGAAAACAGAAATGCTGGACCACTCTCACAACTACCATGTCAGACTACATAGAGAAGCCATTGCAATCCACAAGAATGTGAACAATTTCAACAGAAAGGAGGAAACCATGAAAATGAACAAAATCTGGCTACTAATATTAAAAAAAACATGAAAATCAAAACAGTAAATAAAGAATTACACTAAAAAAGCACATGAATTCTAGACAAGAAACAATCAGGGCCAGCTAATCACCTCCCAACAAAGGATTCCCCAGCAGTAAGCAGTCAGACATTGAAGCTGCAAAGCCATTAAATGCTAATTAAGGTGGCCAATTGCAACATTCAAACCTGCCTCCAAAAGACAAGAGTTCTTTCTCCCACCTGGGAGATATATAAACCCCACTTGCCTAATTTCCAACAGAAGTCACAACCTCTGAGGATGCCTTCTATAGATGCAGGTGAAAAGTTAGGAGATAATGCTTCTGGAACATGGCCATACCGCCCAGAAAGCTCACAGCAACCCAGAATTATGGAGCACTGTACACACCTTCACATTCATGCTATTGAACTGCATATTCCATTCTATCCCCTGTTTGATGAAGCCAAGACATACAAGATAAAAACTGAAAGAAGACTTACGGGTCAATTGTAATTTTGATGCAAGACATTTTCTTATCCCTTTGCTTGTTATCAGCAGCATTGACTAGTGGAGGAAAAAATACAGTTGGTGAGAAGCTAGGTTATCTTTCATGTCTCCAAGTCATTTCTGACTTATAGCAACTCTATCATGGGGTTTACTTGGCAAGAGGTCAGGACTATAAATTAATTCTGGCTAGGCAATGGAAATCACTCCTTTTAACTCCATTAGTTAGCTTAGAGTTAATATTTTTGTTAGACAAGAAATGCATTCAAATACCAAAACTAGAGCTATTTTAATGCATTGCTTTCAAATACCCTTAGAGCAGTGTTTCTCAACCTTCCTAATGCCGCGACCCCTTAATACAGTTCCACATGTTGTGGTGACCCCCAACCATAACATTTTCCTTGCTACTTCATAACTGTGATTTTGCTACTGTTATATCTGATATGCAGGATGTATTTTCATTCACTGGACCAAATCTGGCACAAATACTTGATACACCCAAATTTGACTACTATTGGGGTTGGGGAGGGGGTAGATTTTGTCATTTGGGAGTTGTAGTTGCTGGGATTTATAGTTAACCTACAGTCAAAGAGCATTCTGAACTCCACCAACGACGGAATTGAAGTAGACTTGACACACAGAACTCCAATGACCAACAGAAAATACTGAAAGGGTCTGGTGGGCATTGACCTTGAGTTTGGGAGTTGCAGTTCACCTACATCCAGAGATGGGTTTAGAAACACTGCCTTAGAGTTTTGTCAAGCTATCCTGAACATCAATTACCATCACTCTCGACTTGATCCCACTAATCAACTCATAATAAAATACAGGCCCATGATTACCATGTCATACATTTAATTTATTGACAGCATTTTCAACATACCTAGGATTTCATCAAAGATTTTATACAAGCCAGGTACAAAGGTGACATCCCTGCAGTTCAGTCCTACTTCTTCATCAAACACCCACATTTGCTGAAAAGTTAATTTTAAAAAGTGTTCAAAAATTTCCACAATATCGAAAACATTATTTACATAATATTGTTTTTTGTAAATAAAGTGATTTCAGGACCATTAGTTTTCAGTACTGCAAATTGAGAATGGAGAAAGGAAAAGAGGGAAGTCAAAGAAACAGTTGCAAGATAGATACAGAATGTAAACTATTTTATCTGCCTAATGAAACAGTAACTTTTCTACTATCTTCCGTAATATTGTATTGGTTCATTCAGTAACTACAGGCTTTGAACAGTTAAGCAGACAGGAGCCCCTGGTGGTGCAATGGGTTAGAACCTTATGCCGGCAGGATTGCTGACTGAAAGGTCAGCGGTTTGAATCCAGGAAGTGGGGTGAGCTCCCGTCTGTCAGCTCCAGCTTCCCATGCAGGGACATAGAGAAGCCTCCCATAAGGATCGTAAAACATCCAGGCCTTCCCTGGGCAACGTCCTTGCAGATGGCCAATTTTCTCACACCATAAGTGACTTGCAGTTTCTCAAGTCACTCCTGACACGGAAAAAAAGTGAAGCAGACAAGTATAGTGCAACAAATGTTTCAAGGTAAAAAAAAACTCGGACAAGTTTCCTCTTCTTATGTCACTCACTCAAGTGGGTATAAAAAGCCAGCCACATTTTCCTGTTTACCATGTGCGCTGATTGGACTCAGCAGAAAATGCCACATTTCTGGTCTACAGATGGGATTGCCTAGAGACCACACACTCAGTCCCCAAAATATAAACAGCACAATCAAGTTCTTTGGTGTGATATTGTAACAATTTTGATAAGCTGAACAATATAGAAAAGCTTCTTCTGGTTTAAGAGCAACACATTTTGTCTCTTCCCTGCAAAAGCTTTTGTTTTTACCTGAGTGACTTGTTCTACAGAGCCAATATAAGTATCAGGTCGGAGCAGTATATGCTCCAGTTGGGTTTTCTTCTGGTAGATTCGTTCAACAGACAGCCTCTTTTTGGCATCATTCTTGATCTTATCCACTTTCGGGTTTACATCCACCGCCTGAAAAACAAAATAAATAATCAACAGCATGAAAATATAAAAATGTATGCAGCAAACTAAAAATATAATTTTGAAACAGTATGCAAGGAAAAGCTAGCTAAATGGATGGCTCCAAGAAAGGACTTGAATGAAACGAAGATAGAAACATGAATAGCATTTAAATATCAATATTAAATATTGATATTCTGGGTTACATAGTTGTGTGGAAGGGCCATAAGTCCCCACTGCCAGATTACCTTGGATAAACAGATAATCTGGGATCCCATCCTGGGATAAAGGTGCAGTGTGGAAGAGCCCTTAGTTATACCGGCTAATTTGAGCGGGGTTCTGAATTATTTGACAAATAATTTCCGTTGTGTTTCTCTGGTCCTAATATGTTTAATAATTTAAACTGAATTCGTGAATTTCCTTTCTTAAAGATAGAGTCCTCTCACTTCCTGTTGCCTTACACCCATTAAGTATGAGTCGTTTAAGTCTGATGTTTGTAACTCAGAGACAGCTTGTAATTGGGTTTGATTGTGAGGGGCGAAGAAATCAAAAGATGGGTGCCAATACCTTTAATCAGGTTGAATGGAACTGGATGGGGGAAAACATCTGGAAAGACTAAGGGCCCTTCCACAGAATATCAAGGCAGATAATCCACAATATTTGCTTTGAAGTGGGTTATCTGAGTCCTCACTGCTATATAACCCAGTTTAAAATAGATAATGGCTGTGTAGAAGGGGCCAGGATGTGATCCCTGGTTTTCTGCTTTAAACTGGATTATATGAGTCCACACTGCCAGATAATCTGGGATAAACAGAAAACCTGGGATCAGATCCTGGGGGCCCTTCCATACAGACATGAAAACCAGAATATCCCATAATATCTGCTTTGAACTGGGTTATCTGAGTCCACACTGCCATGGGCCAGAATGGAGAGAGAGAGGGCCAGGGGACAGTTCCACCTGTGCTGTGCTAATAATATAGCATAACATAATGTGTGTATGTATGTGTGTGTGTGTGTGTGTGTGTGTGTGTGTGTGTATATATATATATATATATATATATATATATATATATGTAATACAATACTAATAATCATCATATATTATAATTATCTATCTATATACATATATATATATKTCATATTACTAATAATCTTACAATATAATGGTATAGTACAATATAGTAATATTTAATACTGATACTGATATTGTRCTATGCTAATAATATATATTGTATGTATATATATCTTGTAAGCCGCTCTGAGTCACCTTCGGGGTGAGAAGGGTGGCATATAAATGTCGTAAATAAATAAATAATAAAATAAATAAATATATTCCAGTTCAGAGCAGAAAATGTGGGATTTTATTCATCTGTGTGGAAGGGGCACCAGAATAACAAGGCAGATAACCCACAATATCTGCTTCGAACTGGATTATATGAGTCCACACTGCCAGATAATCTGGGATAAACAAAAAACCTGGGATCAGATCCTGGGGGCCCTTCCATACAGACATAAAAACCAAAATATCCCATAATATCTGCTTTGAACTGGGTTATCTGAGTCCACACTGCCATGGGCCAGAATGGAGAGAGAGAGAGGGCCAGGGGACAGTTCCACCTTGTCTCCTATGCTATGCTAATAATATAACATAATGTAATATAATATATTGTGCGTGTGTGTGTGTGTTTCTATATATATATATATATATATAATGTAATACAATACTAATAATCATCATATTATAATTATATATTTTATATATATTTATATGTCATATTACTAAGAATCTTACAATATAATGGTATAGTACGTCGTAAATAATAAATAAACATATTCCAGTTCAAAGCAGAAAATGTGAGATTTTATTCGGCTGTGTGGAAGGGGCACCAAAATAACAAGGCCATAGAACCCAGAATATCAAGGCAGAACATCCCACAATATCTGAACTGCCATATAATACAGTGCAATGAATGTTGTAAATATTAAATAAATATATTCCAGTTCAAAGAACATGAGGGATTTTATTCAGCTGTGTGGAAGGGGCACCAAAATAACAAGGCAGAACCCACAATATCTGCTTTGAACCGGATTATATGAGTCTACACTGCCATATAATCCGATTCAAAGCAGATAATCTGGATTCAAAAACATCTGGCGGGCCAAAGGTTGGGAACCCCATCTAGGCCCTATCTGCAGTGGCATATAAAATCCAGATGATCTGTTTTGATCCGGATTATATGGCAGTGCAGATTCAGGACCCTTCCACACAGCCATAGAACCCAGAATAACAAGGCAGAACCCACAATATCTGCTTCGAACCGGATTATATGAGTCTACACTGCCATATAATCCAATTCAAAGTAGATAACCTGGATTCAAAAACATCTGGAGGGCCAAAGGTTGGGAACCCTATCTGCAGTGGCATATAAAATCCAGATGATCTGTTTTGAACCGGATTATATTGCAGTGTGGACTCAGGACCCTTCCACACAGCCATAGAACCCAGAATAACAAGGCAGAACCCACAATATCTGCTTTGAACCGGATTATATGAGTCCACACTGCCATATAATCCAATTCAAAGCAGATAATCTGGATTCAAAAACATCTGGCGGGCCAAAGGTTGGGAACCCCATTTAGGCCCTAGGTGCAGTGGCATATAAAATCCAGATGATCTGTTTTGATCCGGATTATATGGCAGTGCAGATTCAGGACCCTTCCACACAGCCATAGAACCCAGAATATCAAGGCAGAACATCCCACAATATCTGAACTGCCATATAATCCAGTGCAATGAATGTTGTAAATATTAAATAAATATATTCCAGTTCAAAGAACATGAGGGATTTTATTCAGCTGTGTGGAAGGGGCACCAAAATAACAAGGCAGATAACCCACAATATCTGCTTCGAACTGGATTATATGAGTCCACACTGCCATATAAACCAATTTAAAGCAGATAATCTGGATTCAAAAACATCTGGAGGGCCAAAGGTTGGGAACCCCATCTAGGCCCTATTTGCAGTGGCATATAAAATCCAGATGATCTGTTTTGAACCGGATTATATGGCAGTGTGGACTCAGGGCCCTTCCACACAGCCATAAAACCCACAATATCTGCTTCGAACCAGATTATATAAGTCCACACTGCCATATAAACCAATTCAAAGGAGATAATCTGGATTCAAAAACATCTGGAGGGCCAAAGGTTGGAAACCCTATCTAGGCCCTATCTGCTGTGGCATATAAAATCCAGATGATCTGTTTTGAACCGGATTATATGGCAGTATGGACTCAGGACCCTTCCACACAGCCATAGAACCCAGAATGTCAAGGCAGAACGTCCCACAATATCTGAACTGGTTTATGCCATATAATCCAGTTCAATGCAGCTGTGTGGAAGGGGCTAAAGCAAAATAAGTGTTCTGAGGTAAAAAGTTACAGCAAAAGGCTGGAGGATGAGTGGCATCGTGGAGGCACCGACTAGAAGTTGAAGTTAAATGGTTCTGAGGTAAACAAATATACTTTGATGGGGGAAAATAACGAATTGGAAGTGAATGAGAGTGTGTAGAAGGAGTATTTCGGACTCACCTTGAGCGGGGAAAGGGATTCGTCGAGATCCATATCGGAGAAGGGAGTGAGGGGATGGCGGGAAGGAGGTTTAGGGACGAATGGAGACGGAGACCCGGATGAGGGGCCGAAAACGACGGCAAGAAGGCAAACGATGCAACGCGCGCAACCTTCTTCCCTCGAGAACCCCGAAAAGCAAGTCTGTCCCGAACTGCCTTTCTCCCCTCAGCCCGGCTAACGGAAGAAGAGGCCGGACAAAAGCGACTGTGAAGAAGTGCTCGTCAACTAGTTCGAAATCGTCGCCTCCTCCCGCTCAAACGAGGCCCGACCAATCAGCGCGAGGCTCGCTCTAAACGCTCCAATCACCAACGAGGACGGTGTGTGGAATGTTTGACCGGCCAATGAGAGACAAAGCTGGTGTGTTCAAAAAGAACTATTTCCTCCATCCAACTTCTGTCTTTTGGTAAACACGCCTCCCGGATGCGTTTGGCCAGTAGGGAAATATGTTGTTTTGATTGGCATATTCATGAGCCAATGAGGAGGAAGGTTTTTCAAAAATGTGTTGTGGAAGGCTTTCATGGTCAGAATCACTGGTTGCTGTGAGTTTTCCGGGCTGTATGACCATGTTCCAGAAGCATTCTCTCCTGACGTTTCGCCCACATCTATGGCAGGCATCTTCTGAGGTTGTGAGGTCTGTTGGAAGCTAGGCAAGTGGGGTTTATAAATCTGTGGAATGTCCAGAGTGGGAGACAGTTCCACCTTGTCTCCTGTGCTATTCTAAGAATATGTTGTAATATAATATATAATATATTGTGTATACATATAATATTTATAATATTGTAATGTAATGCAATATAATACTACTAATAATAATATGATATTATAATTATATATTTATATTACATGTAATATTACTAATAATATTACAGTATAATTGATATAGTGCAATATAGCAATATTTAAAACTGATATTGTACTATGTTAATAATATATTGTATGTATATATACCTTGTAAGCCGCTCTGAGTCCCCTTCGGGGTGAGAAGGGCGGCATATAAATGTCGTAAATAAATAAATAAATAAAGTTGTAGTTCACCTACATCCAGAGATCACTGTGGACTCAAACAATGATGGATCTGGACCAGACTCTACAAGAATACTCAATATGCCCAAATGTGAACACTGGTGGAGTTTGGGGAAAATAGAATCTTGACATTTGGGAGTTGTAGTTGCTGGGATTTGTAGTTGCTGGGAGTGCCGTTCAGCAGTGGAACTCCGTTCAACAGTGGAACTCTCTGCCCCCGAGTGTGGTGGAGGCTCCTTCTTTGGAAGCTTTTAAACCAGGCATGGGCAAACTTGGGCCCTCCGGGTGTTTTGGACTACAACTCCCACAATTCCTAACAGCAATACGCGATGAGTAAGAACAATAAAAAATCCAAGGCAATGGAAGAAGGCGGAGGCTCCTTCTTTAGAAGCTTTTAAACAGAGGCTCGATGGCCATCTGTCAGGGGTGATTTGAATGCAATATTCCTGCTTCATGGCAGGGGGTTGGACTGGATGGCCCATGAGGTCTCTTCCAACTCTTTGATTCTATGATTCTTGTCTACTGGAGGCAAGTGTGAATGTTGCAGTTGGCAACTTTTATTAGTTTTTAATGTCCTTGCAGCTTCAAAGCCTGGCTGGTTGCTGCCTTGGGAAATCTTTTGTTGGGAGGTGTTCACTGGCCCAGATAGATTCTTGTCTGGATTTCCCCTGCTTCTTGCCACCACTTGCCTTCGGTCAATGCTATGAAGTCCTGGGAATAGTAGTAGTAGTAGTTTTGCAAGGTCTTGAGCCTTCTTTGCAATTTCCTGCAAACCCAGCCTCAGCAAACTACAAATCCCAGTTTCTGCACCCTTTACCCCAGCAAATGTGCAGGGCAGACGACATATTAAATATTTTTGGTACTAAACTAAAACAAAAGCAAATTGGTACAAGTGATGGCGTTACTGAAAGGCCCAGGTACATTTTTAATTGGTTTTATATAGTTTATATTATATGTAATGTTTTACCTCTGAGGATGCTTGCCATAGATGTAGGTGAAATGTCAGGAGAGAATGCCTCTAGACCATGGCCATATAGCCTGAAAAAACCTACAACAACCCAGTTTTAACTGTATTTTATGTTGTTTGGGGCATTGATTGCTGACTGTAAACCGCCTCGAGTCGCATCCGGGCTGAGAGGGGTGGTTTACATATATGATAAATAAATAAATAAATTTCTGCATAGGAGACATCTTTATATTTGTGGATATTTTAATGTGATCTCAAAAGATCTGCACATCTCTGTATATATAAATGTCAATGTATTTTTATATGTATGTTTGAACAACAAAGGCTGCTAATTCTCGTGATGGATCTGGACCAGACTTGGAACACCTGCCCATCATGAATTCCAAGTTTGATTCAGATCCACATAGACGTGTAGGAGCTTTTGTGGTTCAAATCTATATAAATAAAAATGTAATGTTTGTTTGTGGTATTCACAGAACTCAAAAACCACTGGACGAATTGACACCAAATTTGGACACAACACACCTAACGACCCAATGTATGTCCACTCGATTTTTTTTGTCATTTGGGAGTTTTAGTTGCTGGGATTTATAGTTCACCTACAATCAAAGAACATTCTGAACCACACCAACGATGGAATTCAACCAAACTTGGCACACAGTTCTCCCATGACCAACAGAAAATACTGGAAGGGTTTGGTGGGCAGTGTCCTTTGGTTTTGGAGTTGTAGTTTACCTACATCCAGAGATCACTGTGGACTCAAACAATGATGGATCTGGACCAAACTTTACACGAATGCTCAGTATGCCCAAATGTGAACACTGGTGAAGTTTGGGGAAAGTAGAATCTTGACATTTGGGAGTTGTAGTTGCTGGGATTTATAGCTCACCTACATCACAGAGCATTCTGAACCCCACCAATGATATAATTGGGCCAAACCTCCCACACAGAACCCCCATGTGGGCCACAGCAACGCGTGGCAGGGGACGGCTAGTATACATATAAATAAACACACATACAACAAAAAATACTGGCAAGGTTTGGAAGGATTGATAGAGGATGGTGGAAGTTGGTGGTCCAGCCACATATGGAGAGCTGCGTGAAACCCACCAACAATGGATCTGGGTCAAACTTGGTATGCAGGCATGCTCTTCCTGACCCAATTTAAAATACTGGTGCAATTAGACGCCATGGTAAAGGATGATAAGATTTGTAGTCTACCTACATCTGTACTAATCCCATATGCAGGCATGCTCTTCCTGACCCAATTTAAAATACTGGTGCAATTAGACGCCATGGTAAAGGATGATAAGATTTGTAGTCTACCTACATCTGTACTAATCCCATACAAGACAGGGTGTAGCTCTCCTCCTAAATAGTCAGACACCTCAGCTTACTTGCCAGGTTGCATCTCCCAACAGCCTTACTCTTTTTCTTGGCAGGCTGGAAATGATGGGAATTGCAACCCAGAAAGAAGGCTGAGATGTCTGACCGGTTAGGAGAGGAACAACCGGTTGCAGTCCACCCTATCTGGGACTAACAGGAGTTGCAGCCCATTTTCTGTAAGTTTTAATAAAGGGACCCATTATATGGGTATGTATTTTCTTATGCGGCCATTCATAAAATTGAAAAGCAAACAATGAGTATCTATATAAAAGGTAAAGGTAGTCCCCTGACATTAAGTCCAGTCATGTCTGACTCTGGGGTGTGGTGCTCATCTCCATTTCTAAGCCGAAGAGCCGTCGTTGTCCAAAGACACCTCCAAGGCCATGTGGCCGGCATGGCTGCATGGAGCGCCGTTATCTATATGTATTTGTATATTTGATCCTCAACGGCTCCTACATAGCTTGATGGATTGAGACCAAACTTGGCACACATATCCATCAAGATCCAGCTTACACTAAAACAATTGAGGTGGTTTGGGGGATAGAGGATGGTGGGAGTTGTAGTCCACCCAAGTTTGGAGAGCTATGTGAATCCCAATGATGATAGATCAGGGCCAAACTTTGCACACATATACATCATGACCGATTGAAAATATTGGCAGTGTTTTTAGGGAATTCATAGAGGATGGTGTGAGTTATACTCTACCCACAAAATAGTTAACCTGGGAAACATCGGGTACATAAGCTGGTTTTTAATAAATAGCGTTGCAAAATGCCTAAGCTGGGCAATGCCAGATATGTATACGGTTCCGGCCCAAGCTACCTATCTGACCGCATCTCTGCCTATGAACCCACCAGGACTTTGAGATCTTCCGGGGAGACCCTGCTCTCGATCCCGCCTGCTTCTCAAGCTCGGCTGGCGGGGACGAGAGATAGGGCCTTCTCGGTGGTGGCTCCTCGGCTGTGGAACGCCCTTCCTACGGACATTAGACTAGCACCATCTCTAATGGTATTCCGCAAAAAGGTGAAGACCTGGATGTTTGTGCAGGCGTTTGAGTAATTTAGTGCAATCTGGTAATGGAACATAGGAATGGAACAGTGGACGACAAACCTGGACTACGCTTGGATGATGAGAAGATTGGGTACGGTTGTTTTTTGTAATAATTGTGCATTGTAATTGCTTATTGGTAATTTATGGATAATGTGTTAAGTCAATTGTTATATGTTGTATGGAACCACTGCTGTTTCTACTGTTTTTACTGTTTGTGAACCGCTGTGAGTCGCCTTCGGGCTTGAGATACAGCGGTATATAAGCAAAGTAAATAAATAAATAAATAAATAAATGTATACTAGTCTGTTATACATGTTTCTGGTAGTTCTGGAGTTGCCATAGCAATCCACATATAGGGTAATTGCTTAGAAATAATGTTTAATAACATGAATATAATCAAATAACCCAACTTAACTTTAGAGAAGGCCAGGAAGAGACTGATATAGAACAAAAGGTTTTACTTCAAATGTTATCAAACTACAATGTTCTACAACAGAACCATAACATTTCTTAAGAAATACAGTTAATGAGAAAGGAGTATGGCGTAATGTTGTTTAATCACAAGGCACTAATAAACACATTTAGGTGAAGGTTGATCATTTTTCCAGTTATGCTTTCTTTTACACATGAGGCTTAGATTCAGAATGAATGACTATGATGGAGTGATGGGTATTGTAAGTTTAGTTACCATCTTGAATGATTGATCAGTGGAAAAAATGACTCGTTAAGTTAGTCAGAAAAGCTACCTTGGTGCACTGATGTCAATGAGACCTACTTGAGGGCCAGAATGGAATACTGGTTTGACTATTGAACTGGAACACTGGGAGACCAATGTTCGAATCCATGTTTTTCCATGGAAACCTTTTGGATGACATTGGGTAACTCATAGTCTCTCAGCCTCAGAGAAACCTTGTTTGAAGAAATTCTGCCAAGAAAATCCTGCAATAAGATCGTCGTTTATAAGTCAGAAATGACTTGAAGTCACACAACAAAAATTTGTGACTAATTTGGCCAGAATTACTAGGTATATCTCTTTGGAAGCATTCACCCCACTGCATATAATGAAGCTTGCTCTCCATCCCAGTATATATGTTTTGGAGCTTAGTTTGGATATAACTTGTTAAATATAGATATCTTTCTAACTTTATTTTTCTCTATAAAAAGCTGTTACTTTTTCTCTGGAAAAAGTAACATCTTGAAATCAAGTCTACAAGTTATGTATCAATTACAGAGAGACAAGGAAAAAATATTTTCTAATGCCATGTGGAAAGATATCTTTCTAATACTTTGATGCATTTTCCAATGATGAGAGTCCACAAATTAGTATTGGCCTTGTCCTTGCATTAGAAGGCAGCTGATTTGGAGACTCATAAAAGAGCACAAATTGTTATTTTAAGTGTATTTTTCATTGTTACAGAGATCGTGGGGCATTTATGATTTTTATTGCCTTGCAATGCACATCAAATTGCTGATGAGGAAGAAGAAAACCATGTGTAGCTCTACCTCAGAAAGAATCATGCCTTGAACCGACACTGAGTAGATCTAAGCTGAAAAAGATGAGGACTGTGCTGGGACATATAATCCCATAATATTTTGTCCTCGGCAGTTATGGATGATCACCACCATAACTTATAAACACTATTAGAATCAGCAGACTCAATCAGCATCAGTGATGTGATTCTCGCAGGAAAGAGCATTCACATTTCAGGCCATATTAAGGAGAAACCTTCTTTGCAGACATGGGTGTTATTGTCCAAATATATCTACTATGGCCATTGAGATAAAAATACTGGCTTGCACCAAACACATTGTGTAGTTTAATTTGTGTGTTAAGGTATTATTTGCAAGGATTTTTTCCATGTCAGGAGTGACTTAGAAACTTCAAGTCGCTTCTGGTGTGAGAGAATTGGCTGTTTGCAAGGATATTGTCCAGGGGATACCCGGATGTTTTTTAAAAAAATGTTTTTAACATCCTTGTGGGAGGCTTCTCTCATGTCCCCGCATGGAGCTGGAGTTGATAGAGGGAGCTCATCCACGCTCTCCTGGGGTTGGATTTGAACCAGCAACCTTCAGGTCAGCAATCCAACCTTCAAGTCATCAGTCCTGCCAGCACAAGGGTTTAACCCCCACTGCACCACCGGGGACTCGTATTTGCAAGGAATAAGCCATGGCCAAATACTCTTCACAGCTCTCTCCCCATGCTTATATAATGAAGGGAAAAGTCAATTTAACACATTCTCTGAAAAGTCACCCATCAATTCAAAATCTTTCAGAAATGCTTTCCAACGGGATACTGTGTCTTTTAATCCTCCTGGGAAATAACAGTGTGGCGAAGGCTGAAAAATTGTAAGGAATTGTAATAATACATCTCGCTCTGCCCAACTGAAGCGATTCATTGCTGTTTGGGCTAATCCAAGAGCTGGAGAAAGAATCTATGGATGGATTGCATGTAACAATGTAAAATGTGTCTATTGTAATTCTTATATTGTTATGTATTCATATGTTTTATGTAATTATGATGTTGTTTATTGTTTGCGTTTTCGGTTGTGTTTTGGTTTTCTTTATTGTAATTGTTGTTCGCCACTCCGAGTCCCCATTGGGGAGATAGTGGCGGGGTACAAATAAAGCTTATTATTATTATTATTATTATTATTATTATTATTATTATTATTATTATTAACAGTGTAGTTCTATCCTTACAAAAAGTCTGTAAAATGAACAAACTGTCTAATTTCCTTCTATGGTCCTTATAAAAAGAATTCAAGATATACCACAGATGTTTGTGATGCAGGTTACATTTCTAGTGCAATGGGTTTGCCTCTAGACTGAGGCTGTAGTGGTTAATATCTGTGAGTTTTCAAAAAGAGTACATGCCACTAATTTGGACGACACAATTTCACTGTTAGAGGTGGGTTTTCATTATATAGGACCCTCAACATCCCATTAATATTTCTGTACCTGCTACATCTTTCCCCCCCTTTTGCCATACAAAGAACAAGATGCACATGCACCCATACACATGTAAATGTTTGCATCTTTTTTACAAGAGGAGATCTACCTCGTGCTGAGGCCAAAGAGATAAATAGCACTGTTTTACACCTGGCCTCTATGAGGTTCCACTTCCGCACAGCAGGAAAGTAGCTGTGACTCAGACAACACATAACTAGCTCACTTCACAAACTTCTTTTCCTTAGATGATGTGGAGAGATGAGTATCAGAGTATTCCATTTGACAGTCTTAGTGCATGGTTACTCTTTTATTCAATTTGCACCACAGAGATTCTTCCAGTGTCCTTTGACCATCTGGTGCTGTCTTCTCCATCCATACACATCAGAAGGTATTTTCCACGCACAAGACAATCAGGGAATCCGAGCAGCTCCATTTGTCCTTTGTGAGGAATTTGCCTGCAGCTGGAGGTGAGCCAAAGCCTTCTGAGAAGCTGGATGCTGATCGCCAATCTTGACAGTATTGGTTTGGTGAATGGTCTCCTCGTAGTTTAACACCATGCCAGGCTGCCTTGTGTGTCCTAAACATGCAAAAATCAAAACCTACATTTGAGCAATTTCTTTTTGAGGACCAACTAAGACCCCTTTCACACAGCTGAACAAAATCCTACATTTTCTACTTTGAACTGGGGTGTACAGCGGTGCAGACTCAGGTATTCCAGTTCAAAGCAGATATTGTGGATTATTCTGCATTAATGTTTTGGATTATATGGCTGTGTGGACGGGCCCTAAAAGGCCAAAGATGTGTGCAAACTTGCAAGCTTTGAAGTTTTCTGGAACTCCTTACTAGGCTAGATGGGACAAGAAGTCAATTGGGGTGTAATACACAAGAAAAGATTCATCTGACCTCAGAGAGCACAACCCAATTCTCCACAGCTCCATAGATCATTCATAACCCCAGTCACTAAACTAGATATGACAGTAGTTCTCTGTAAATGTATCTCTCCTTATGAACTATCTAGGACTTTAAGATCATTTGGGGAGCCCCTGCTCTCGATCCTGTCTTCCTCGCAGACGTGTTTGGCGGGGACGAGAGACAGGGCCTTCTTAGTGGTGGCCCCTTAGCTATGGAACACCCTACCCAGGGATAGAAGATTAGCTCCCTCCCTTCTAACATTCTGCAAGATGGTTAAGACCTGGCTGTTCAAGCAAGCTGTTCAAGCAAGCTGGAGCAGAGTTAGATGAAAATGAATCATGGAATGTCTGACGATGCAATTGGATCACGATTTTAGTAAAGAGACATTGAGGATTTGTTTTTATAGATATTATGGTTTTTATATTTTTAATGTTGAACTGTTTTATAACTGTTTTTATAGTTGTTTTTAATTGTACCCTGTTATTATTATGGCATCAAATCGCTGCTGATTGTGAACCGCCTTGAGTTGCCTTTGGCAGAGAAAGGCGATATAAAAATGTAGTAAATAAATCAATCAATAAATAATGTGAAACTGCCCCAGTGACACATACAGAATGGACTGAGGAGACCGGATAGCTTTTAAATTATAGTTTGTTTTCATTGTTTGCCAGTGTTCTTGAAAACTAATCCATTGCTCTTCTTTTTTGCAATGTGGAGGAAGTTATTCATGCCAGTAGTAAAAGTACCAGGCTAAAATTTGGAAGATCCACAGAACTAGAAAACTCACTGGGTGACCTTACACCAGTCATTTTTCCTTAGTCAGATCTGCTTAATAGGGCTGTTGTGAGGATACAACAGAGGAAGGAGAGTCATGTATATCACTTTGAGATCATTAGAGAAAAATTGAGATATACATTTAACCAATAAATCTAAACTAAGGCTTACCATTATCTCAAAACACATTTCTTCATTTATTTATTTATCATATTTATACCCTGCCCTTCTCACCCAAGGGCAGGGTATAAATATAGAAGGATAGACTGCTCCTTCTAACCCTCTTTAATATTTTCTTCTAAAAGCTGCCACTTTTGGATTTGGAGACCCAGAATATAGAAATATTCTGATAAACAGTTACCATAAGACTTCCGTATCTGCAAGGGATACGTTCCTGGAGTGATTCTGGCTACCTGAAACTGCAGATATGACAACACCATTAAATTACTTGACTTCCAGTCCCAACATGTCATAGCGCTCTGTTTGAGGTCTTAGAGATTCCTAGAGAAAGGTATCCTAGTGAGATGTATCCTGGGAAGTATACCATAGAATCGCCTGAAGAGCCTAGCACATTTCTAGAGAGACAATCTGTCCCTGGGCATGAGTGTGTGAAATAGCAGGTATGTGTTTGGCAGATACAGGGGTGTTCCTTTATTTCTTTCCTCCCAACTTAGAAGAAGATGGCCAATATATTTTGGAAGCCCTGTCTTATTCCTGTGGGGGGCTTTACGTCCCCACACTAAACTCACCATGTAGAATCCGTCATGACATTGTGCTCATTGAAAGTGTAGATTGGGAACCTCATAGAATTGAAGTGTGAAGTGCCATCTCTAGTGAAGAGAGCATTCCAGCTCTTTGCCAATAGTTGGCCCTACAAAAGAATTACCGTTAATAGATATGAAACCAATACACATGTGGTACTCCAATGTTTTGCAGGCCCAGATCCCACAAGCCTAGCATTCAGACCCAAAGAACAACATCTAAACAAATACATTGCCCTGAAACGTGCAGAAACATGAAATTCATGTAAGGTATGACTTTTCTAACATCAGTTTTTCTGTAATAGAAATAAATAGATAGTTGCTTAGGAACTGCGTAACCAACTGCTTGGTAATGGCATCAGATACAATTGGTCTTTAGTATCTTCCAGGTTTTGGTTGTATGACCCCTCAGGGATACCAAAATCCTTAGATGCTCAAGACCCATTATATACAGTGGTATAGTAAATTGATATCCTTTACATAACATGGCAAAATCAAGGTTGGCTTTTGGGGAAACACTGAATCTATGGATGCAAAATTCATGAATACTGAGGGTCAAGCATATCAGAATTAGTTGGGTAGGTGTTATGCAACTGTCATATACAGCTAGTGTAAGAAGGATGGCTGTCTCAGGTATATAAGAATTTAATAACATTTTGTAACTAACCTTAAGGTTGACAATAGGTAGGCCCCTGTCAGTTCTCTTCACAATTGAGAAAAGGCTCTGAGTGGATGAGGACAGGAAAGCCCTGAAGGTCCCCTGTAGCTTTGCCTCCTGGGACTGTCGATAGCACTGCAGGTCAACACCGGCAATCCCATTCATGTCACCTGTTAGAGGGGTGTTGAGCGCCACTAGACGGAGCTACAAAAGTGAAGAGATTCTACATAATTATACATAAGGAGGAAATGATTCAACAGTTAAAGTAGGTTAACCAGAACAGTAGCCATTCAAGTCATCTAGAGCAGAGAGAGCTATAGAGAGAGGAGACAATTACAATGTCATGGAATAGAAGAGCGAAGCAGGAAGCTGGTTGTCCTTAAACTGCTTAAAGGTAAAGGTTGTCCCCTGACATTAAGTCCAGTCATGTCTGACTCTGGGGTGTGGTGCTCATCTCCATTTCTAAGCCGAAGAGCCAGTGTTGTCCATAGACACCTCCAAGGTCATGTGGCCAGCATGACCGCATGGAGCGCCGTTAAACTGTTTACCAAGTCAAATAACATAGCTTTGTGGATGGTCCCCTTGAGATTAAAATGCTGTTGTTGGATTTGGAGAGAGGAGATGGAGTTCCAATGGTTTATTGTGATTCCATCTACCGGACTAGGTGCTCCATCCCATAGTCTGCAAGGTTTGAGTGAGTATATCAAAAGGTGGGTAGCTAAAACAGAATAGGGATTCTGTTGGTGTGTGGCCCACCTTTTTGCTCCTTAGTTATCTGGGGTAGTTTCAGTGTTGGCGTTGGAGTCCCCAAAATTAGGGAGCTGAAGAGCTTCAGCATCCATTCTATTCCCTTCTTCTAATCAGACCCCTCTAGTTGGTAACTGTTCTACTGCTCAGTTCTATAAAACTACAGTGAACTAGAATACTATAGCTTCCCAGCAGCTTAGAAAAGGGGGAAAAAAAGATAATCTACATTTCACAAGTGCTCCTCTAACCTGGCCTTGCCAGTCTGCTTTTTGGGTGTTTCTTCTCTTTACCCTGCTCCAAATAAAGAGCCCAGTTGTATCAGTAACCAGATTATTTTGTCTGAAACAGTGCATATTGTTGACAACTTGTGCCAGCAATTTTGTCTTTTTAGATGCATTTCTACTTGAACTTACTGAAGGTATCCTGTCGGAAATCTTGGTTGGAGCACTCTGGATTGCCATTTGGCTTTCATCCTTTGGGGCCTAAAGAAACAGTCTGAAATTATTATTTATTCAGAATTTTATATCCCACCTTTTGATTGAAGGTTGTTTTACAACATACTGCAACATTGTGTACACCACATCCAATCCAACACACTTTATTTTCTGCCAGAGCTGAGATTACGTGCCCAAAATTATGTTGGCACAACTGCGGAAAAATAGGAATATACACCCACATGTGAAGGGAATGCGAAAAAATCCCAAAGTTCCATGAAATAATCAGGAAGGAAATGGAGGAGCTATTAGGAATAAATATAGAATGGAACAAGACTCAATTTTTCAAACCGAAATTGGAAAGTAAAGAGGAATATAAAGAAAGTGAGGAAATAATAAAACACATGATAGGGGCAATCAGTGGCCCTGGGATGGAAGAACCACAAGAAATGGGATATAAAAACTTGGTATAAATATCTAGCCGATTATCTTCTCCAATATTATATTAGTGAAAGGAAAAGTTACTATACGACGGGTCAAAGCAGAAGGACATGGGAAGAAAAATGGAAGGGTCTCATTTACAGAATAAAGGGCACAACTTCAAAACCTGGGACAAGTCCTTACCTGATTTCTTTCTGTAGACACTGAAGGATCATCTCCAACCAGTGCAGTCTCTGAATCGTCTAACTGGATCAAGTGATAAGAACAGGCAAGAATAATTAAATAAATGCAAAACAAAGTTGTTCTTAAACTTTGCCATCACAGCCAGAATTGTCAGGGAACTCAAACAAATAAACCAAATTATGCAATGAAAATTTAACAAATCGTTGGGTCAACTTTGCGATCCTATGGAGCATTTCTCCTCAAGTCACCCTGCAGAATACATAAGCGGGCCTGCTACATTTGACATCTAAAAAGTCACATATGTTTATAGAAATTTCCTCTTTCAAATACCAAATTCTATCAATCCCCTCGAACTGAAGTGTTTTGGCATCCTCACAAATCGTACCAGAAGCTTGCTCCATCCCTTGGGAGTCCGGAAGAAAGCTTCATTTCCTTCACTGACATAGACCAAGCTGCCTTCTGGGATGGAAGATGCAGATTTGAACATCAGCTCTTTCGACTTGAAAGTCCAGGAGGTGCTCTGCAAAGCAGAGAAGAAAGGATGTCTTTAAAAGAAACATTATCATAATACATCTAGTGGACTGGGAAAAAGGATTTTTTAAAAATATATCCTTGAATTGGAAGATAGATTCTGTAATATCAATCTTAATGAAGTAGTTTGTTATACTGGCAACATTTCCAGTTTCCATCCCCTTGTGATAAATTTTGAATTGTAGATGTATTATGATAGTGCCTAAAACCACACACAAACACACATATATCAGATTCTGAAATGTACATTGCTGTATGTTGATCTGTGCTAGCAAACCAAATATAAAGCTTTTCAATTCCACCAGGAACAGGTTTTTTGTAAAGCGAATGGATCTTCATTTCCAAACCAAATATTTTATATTAAGGGTAGCTCAAAACAATGTATTACACTGAGAATACATTTTTTATAGATAGTGGAAATCATTTAAGAAAAGGATGATACACTTTCTCCTTTGGTGAAAAAAGGGGCAGGTTTTCAATTGTTTCAAATATCTGCTTGCATATTTTAGAAACCAATTACCTTTCTCAACTAACGGATTATTTTTTGAAATCGCACTTGCCCATTGATTCCAGAGGGTTTGGATTAGAGTTCTCAACACCTTGACCACTCAGAATAGGTGATGTTGATAGTTCAAAATATCTGAAGGAATCTATAGATGGAGTCTAATACACTATCAATTCAACGTACCTTAAATCCATACTGGTTTCCAGTGGAAGAATCCTTTTGTGGCAGCTCAGCATCATCTGCACAGAAAAGACAAGACAAAAAAGAATGTTTTTTCCCTTTTGAAACAGACTGCAAGATATAATCCAGGAATGGGCAAAGTATGGCTCCAGGGCCATATGCAGCTCGCCTCTCCCAGTTGGTTTTGGAGACTTCAGTCCCTGCAGACTCCAAATATCTTTTTTCTTCTGACTCAAAAGAAAAATGACATCTCCAGGAGTAGCAATTTACTGTTTAAATAGATTGCAAGTTAGGGAGGCCATGGTGTTTAACCTAAAAGATACCAATTTTTCAAAATCAGGATGGGATTCCTTTGAATATTTAAATATAGCTATCGGATCACTTCTCAGTTTTCTCTTCTCCAGTAGCATCACTTGAAAACTTTCTCAAATCTGGCAGAAGATGAAACTAGGAATTGTTTGTAATTTCTAATTGTGTTAATTTCAGATGTCCCTCCCTGCAACTTGGTGATAAAAATGTAAACTGTTTCTGTCCCTTGTGTGCCTTCTCCCAAATTTGGAGGAGGGCACAGGAGCTGGGAGCATTCAAAAAAGTCAACGAGGAACCATGCTTTCCCCATCCCTAACTGATAGCATGTATAATTGCAGAATGGCACTGACCAGGCCTGCTGCTAAAAGGTCAACCTCAATATATGCCAGTAAGACTAAGGAAAGCATGCAAGATCATTCAAGACATGCAAAAACTGGAAACGTGGTTAAGTATCTGTTCCAAATATATAGAGAAAAATGCTTGCACCTGAATCTGCAGTTGAGTCCTGAGTTGCCTGGAAGAAAGAAGAGGAGACAGATGGATATCGTAAGAGGAAAGCATGAAGAAACATCTATCCCAGTACAGGATGTGTAATTGTGTATATACTAGTTTTACTATTCAAACCGAAGTTAAACAATATATTTTAAAGTAATTTCCCATTTGTAGAACTTGCTTGGAACACAATGATGTGATTTATTGGAAAGTATTTTTATTATACTTATGTTTTAATGTTTAACCTATGTTTTAATGGATATGGTATGTTTTAAGGCACCATGGAAGTGTGATTGTAAGCCACCTTGAGTCCCCCTTGGGGTATTCAAGGCGGCTTACAATAAATAAATAAATACTGTGGAAAGAAGAGTCAACAGCAAGGCATGCCAACCAGAATCCCAGATGGCACATTCTCTAATGGAGCTATCCAAGGTGCTGAATCCTATTCTTGAACCATTCACAGGTATCCTAAAAGTCATATTAAATGGGATATGGGAGTTCGATGTCTTTCCCCTTAAAACAACAATGTAAATAGAAGCACGGGATGGAGGGAATCTAGACCAGAAGGAGAATGGGGCAATTTTCTGTTAGCATTTTCCTCATGTGTTGCATCCTATGTGTTACACCTTATAAATATGATGAGTACATTCAGCAAAATAAATAAATAAATAAATCGACAGCATTCCCACATTTGGTACTCTCCAGAGATGATGGCCTGCTAGGCTAGCCGGAGATCATGTGTGTTATGATGAAACATCTTTAGCCTATAAAGTCCTAAATGATTATGGCCCAGCTTACCTGTCCAAATGTATCTCATATGAATCATCTAGGACCTTAAGATCGCCGGGGGGGGGGGGGGGGGGGGGGGGGGGCTGCTGTTGATCCCGCCTTCCTTGCAAGTGCGATTGGCAGAGATGAAGGACAGGGCCTTCTCAGTGGTGGCCTCCTGGCTATGGAACTCCCTCCCAAGGGATATTAGATCGGCCCCCTCCCTCCTGACTTTCCAAAAAAAGTAAAGACTTGGCTCTTTGAGACAGCTTTTGAGAATGCAACGGAATAGATAACACAGAATTATGAACGCTAAACATGGAATGGCCAGACAATGTTATTGAATAATGTTTTTAACAAGATGACACCGATGATTATATGCTTTAAAGGTTTTTATTTATGTTTTATATTGTAATGTTGATTGCTTTTAATGGCACTTTTATGACATCGAATTGTGCCAATCTGTAATCTGCCTTGAGTTGCCATATGGCTGAAAAAGGCAGGCTATAAATAGCATAAATAAATAAATAAATAAATAAATAAATAAATAAATAAATAAATCTGCAGGGCACCAGTTTAGGGAGGTTTATAGAGAAGAGGTGCAGAATATGTGTTTCCTTCGAGATAATAGCAGACTACAGTTTCCATCAATTGTAATCAGCTTTGCAAATGGTGAGGAATGATGTACATTGTGGTTTAGCAACATCATGAAGGGTCACACATTTCTCACCCTTCATCTATATTCAACAAACAAGAGTGTTTCAGATTGTTATGTCTCGAGTCATCATCTCCAGTCATTTTGTTCAGGGCTAGATTCTTTTCACAAGAGAGCTCTGCCTTACAAAATGAACCCTTCTGGGCCTTGGATATGTCTCTCTGGAAAGAAAAGCATCCATATGATTCTGTCAACTTACCGGCTGCTTGCATTGAGGTCTGGGTGGAACAGGATATACTCTCTGGAAAAGAAAATATCAATAAGCATCAGAGGGCAAACCAGACTTCAAAAGTGGAGGCAGGAGAGTTCAAATACAGACTGAAGTGAAAAGATGCAAGTCCCACCTCATCTTTATCAGAAGCGTTCCTAATAGATCCAAAAACTGTGTTCAAAGTGCAAAACTATTTTACACTCAGTTAACTTGGTGGGAAGAGAGAACAGGACAGGTGGAATATAAAACTCCCCTGCAGATTCAGTCAAAAGCAGAATGCTGCAACCTCTCCTAGCTTGTGTGTTCTTCCTCATTTAGAGCCTATAACATCTTGACTGCACTCTGTTGTTGAAACAGTCCCAGTTTCATCTGAAATGCTAGAAGGTATGCCAATAAGGTTTTCAGAGGTTATATGTTTGGCTTGTGGAGGGTGTCTTCTGAGAGGGGTAGAAGGCGGTTTGCAAGGAATCCTGCAAGGATTTTCCCAGTGGAGGTTAGAAGGGAGATACCTCGATAGTTTCCGCAGTCTGTTTTTTCCCCCTTTTTGAAAAGGGTGATAATGGTGGCATCCTTGAAAGCTGCTTGGATTTTCTTGGTCAACCACACTTTTTCAATGAGCTGGTGGAGTTGTTGTGTCAGCTCAGGTCCTCCCTCTTTAAAGATTTCAGCAGGGATCCCATCAGGTCCGCTGGCTTTGTTATTTTTGTTGGCTGATGGCATTGCTGACTTCTTCCAAACTAGGCAGTGCTGCAAGCTCATCCCTGGTTTGTTGTTGTGGGATTTGTGAGAGAACCTCTTCGGCCACATTGGAGCTGTGATTCAGGAGGCTTTGGTAGTGTTCTTTCCAATGTAGTGCAATTGATTTTTTTGTCCTTCAGAAGTTTGGTTCCATCTGATGAGCATAGAGGCTGTATGCCATGGTCCATAGATGACCTTTGTGGCTTTGAACAATTCCTGAGCATCATGGGTATCTGCTAGGTGTTGAATTTCTTCAGCCTTCTTTGTCCACCAGATGTTCTTGAGTTCTCTTGTCCTTCTTTGGATCTCAGCTTTTGCACTGGTATATATCTTTTTCTTAGCAGCACAGTTGATGTCTCTCTGCCAATTAATCCTATATGATAAAAGGATTAAGCCCAATGTGCTGGCACTGCAGAAAGAATAAGGGATGGTACTCACATATGTGGTGGGAATGTTCAAAAGTAACCCCATTCTGGGAAACGATAACAAAAACAATGGAAATAATATTTAAAATACCTACACAAATAAATTGAGACATGATACTAATGGGAACATTAGGAAACACAAGAATTAGTCGAAACGAACATGGACTGTTTAAAATGATTATTTGAGCAGGACAAGCAGCAATTGCATGGAGGTAGAAAGATAAAAAAAAGTGGACACTGGAGAACTGGAACAATTACATATATGAACAGGTTCAACTTCAATTTATGACAAGTATCACAAAAGAGGATGTGCAAAAAGATAAAATAGAGGAAATAAATAACAAATGGGCAACACATATAGAATGGGTAAAAAAAGGAAAAAGCCAATACAAATATAATAAAGAAATTAAGAGAATTGTGTACATAACTAAAGATAACAATATAGTGGAAAATATGGTTGGGGAGTTGGGTGATGGTAGGGGTGGGCTGAGATAACAGGAGTTTGATTTTATTTTTCTTTATTTTTTTTATTACTGTTTGCTTAAAATTTAGTAGTAAATGTTAATAAGATAAAGGCTATGTAAAAAGATGAAGATATAAACAAAAGAAATGAATGATATCTAGGAATGCTGGATATAAAATGTCCTAGGTGTACTTGCACTAAAGGAAAATAAGTGGAAATACTAATAATAGAATTTACAAATGTTTGTACAAAAGGTTTATGAATATACGCACCTAACTGTAAATAATATGATGTAAATAATATTATGAAAATGTATTAAGAAGCAACAATAATAAAACACCATTCTTTCAAAAGCAAATGTTCTTCCTTGTTTTAGAATGCAGATTTGCTTCATGCTTGGCCAGTACTTTGTTTTCCCTCCCTTGAACCCAAACACACCTAACTTCATGCTGTGGCAGCACATTCCAGTTCAGTAGTAAAAGGCTGGACACACTTGCCTTCAAGGAAGAGACATTACTTATTATTTCATGATTGCTTTCCAAGGAATCTCAGAGTTCACCTGAACAAAGTTTAAAACCCCTGAGCCAGGCATTTCTCCACATATGGGATTGTTCTTTTTTGTTATCTGCATCTGTAGAAAAAGGATCTTTCTTTTCCTTAATGAAAACAGCGAAAAACCGAGTCCTTGATATTCCACAAGGCACCATTCAAGAATAGTGCAACTGCAGTCTGCTCCCATTTTCTTTATATTGGATCATAGTTGCATTCATACAATGTTTGGCAGAGTGTTGTCACTTATGACTGTAAAAGTGAGATCACTTACATTGAGGTAAACAACACCTGGGGGTCCAGGGGGCCCGGGGGGACCAGGTAGGCCTGGACTTCCTGGAGGACCTGGAGGACCCTGGATGGAGAGGAAAAGGAGACGGAGCAGTAGTTAACTGCAGATAACAAATGCTGAATTCAGTTTCGGCACATTGAATATTTCCTACCATTTACTCCATTGGGTTGTTGTAGGTTTTTTTGGGCTATATGGCCATGTTCTAGAGGCATTTTCCTGACGTTTCGCCTGCATCTATGGCAAGCATCCTCAGAGGTAGTGAGGTCTATTGGAACTAGGAAAGTGGGTTTATATATCTGTGGAATGACCAGGGTGGGACAAAGGACTCTTGTCTGCTGGAGCTAGGTGTGAATGTTTCAACTGACCACCTTGATTAGCATTTGATGGTCTGGCAGTGCCTGGGGCAATATTTTGTTGAGAGGTGATTAGATGTGCCTGACTGTTTCCCCTCTGTTGTTTTGCTGTTGTAATTTTAGAGTTTTTTTAATACTGGTAGCCAGATTTTGTTCATTTTCATGGTTTCCTCCTTTCTGTTGAAATTGTCCACATGCTTGCGGATTTCAATGGCTTCTCTGTGTAGTCTGACATGGTGGTTGTGAGAGTGGTCCAGCATTTCTGTGTTCTCAAATAATATGCTGTGTCCAGGCTGGTTCATCAGGTGCTCTGCTATGGCTGACTTCTCTGGTTGAAGTAGTCTGCAGTGCCTTTCATGTTCCTTGATTCGTTTTTGGGCGCTGCGTTTGGTGGTCCCTATGTAGACTTGTCCACAGCTTCAACAGAATTTCAATGGGTCATTCCACAGATATATAAACCCACTTTCCTAGTTCCAATAGACCTCACTATCTCTGAGGAT